GCAAATTCATGCGGCAAAAAGCGTTAACGTGTTCACTCCAGTTTTAAAAAACAAATAATACCATGACTCCGCCTCAGTGTTTTCTAAAATCTTGTTTAAATACGACTTAATATTAAAATATTATTTTTTACCTTGAATCCAAATACTAGCTATACAAACAAAATACCATATAGGCCTACAAAGGAAAAGAAGAATTCAATCGTAATCCCTAAATCAGAAAATGAAAAAAACATAAGTTTTGCGTGTCCACGATTATAATCATTTTGACAGTAATGCATATTGCTCTCATTCCACTCTCACTTGCTTGTACAAATCTACACGTACAATGCACCGAAGGTACACACCGAAGTCACACTACACGTACACTCTAGCAAATACCCGAGATCGAACACTTTTAAAATTCACTATGATGGTAGGTTACACTTAATTTATTTGTTTGGAATTTTATGACGTCTGTCAACAAGGGAAAAACCTAAAAAATTGAAATCAAATTTTAAATAGCTTATTTAAGAACATCAAATAATTACGGTATGAACTTCTAACCAGATACAAATCGGGGAAAAAGTTTTTTTGTTTGTTTTTTACTGATTTACAGACAATTAGGTCCCATGGAAGGTCTGATAACCAGGGTCGTCGGTAAAATACAAATAGACTGCATGCGAGTAGAAGCATATGGCTGACAGTGATCCTAAGGGGCAGCCGCCCCCCCCCCTCTCACCCACCATTATAAAAAATGTATTAATTTTCTTAACTCAGCCCCAACTATGGTGGGGCTGAGGTAGTATAGACCGCCCATCTGTGAAAGTCTCTCCCTCCCCACCACCATTTCAAATTATTGGATCTGCCACTGCAAATCTCCCGGAAGTAACTTCTTCCAACTTGGGACCCCTGGGCTTATATAAATTGAAGAGAACAGAAGAGGAATCTGACAATGATACAAACTGGCAGCATAGAAGAAGAATATAAAAAAGAATAAAAGTATGTTGCGTCTGCCAGGGGTATGAGACACTAGGCCTACCTGTTCTGTGCATTATTTTCAGCTTGCTGTATTTCGAAAGATAGGGCTACTTGTGTAAAATGTCATTTTAAGGCATGGGAAAAACCCAGAAACAGCAACCGAACAAAGGAAAAAAATAGATCACTGGCAGTCTAGTCATATGCGATATTAGTGCTACAGTATATCAAAATTGTGACGTCAGACACGTTAAAAAATGAAAGGAACTCAAATGTCGAGTTTGTATTTCTTTTCATATTCCTCTTCTGTTACTGTACTCCCCGGTTCTTCTGACTAGAGTACAACTACGTGTAAACGGTGATAAAATCGTGCATGTATGGATCTTGTAATGCTAACCAATAACGGTCTACAATGACGACCATTCGGTAGGCCTATATACTCTACCTACGATTGTATGTCCCAGTATACTCCAATTAAGGACAAACAAGCCATTTGAATCATAAGTGCTGGTCTGTACTTGGAGTAGCGTAAGTTTTATATATACTTATCATTTTAAACTTGTCAGTGGAGGAATAGGCCAGCCAAGTGGTGATGCGACAATTATGGTTTAAGCGCATGCGCAGTAGTAGGGGACAACTTCTGGCACTGGACACCTAGAATTTTAAATGTCGCACAACGCTAGTTGATGTTTCACGCTTGTGTTTACGAAACGCACTTCATTACAATTTCTTGTTACAAATACAGCAATACATTTAAAAATAATTACAGTATTAATGATTTTGGCGCAGGATCATAACAGACACGATAGTTGTAATTTGCGTAATGCATTTTTTTTTTTAAACAACGAACATGCATTGCATGATAGCAAAATATAATGTGTATTTAATGTGTATATTAAAATGAATTTAAAAAGTAGGCCTATACAAATATTTGACAATGATCGAGTGGAGATAATGTATATAAAAATATATATCTCTTTCCATGCAATTACATTTAGATGAAGACTAGCGCCGTGTTGGTACTGCCGTTTCTTGTTAATCGATCGGAACTGTTGGCAAAGTGTACGAACCTCAGCCAGAAGACAGAAATTAGTTATTGATTAGTTTTTGCTGTAATTGTTATTAATAATTACATTAATATTAACTATAATTAATAGTAATAATGCATGACAACAAACATTAAATCCAGAGTTATTGGTCCATTTTAAAAGACATTAATTTTATTAAGTTTTATTTCTTTTTACATGTCGCCTATTTCTTTCCCTTTCCCAATTTTGATGTAATTTTAATGGTAATTGAATTTTGTGCAATGCTTGTGTGATTTTTCCCCTGTCCTTGAATTTGATAATAATAATCAATAATAATAATAATAATCAATAATAATAATAATAATAATAATAATAATAATAATAATAATACAAAATATGAGGCAGGTCCAATAAATAACGCTTAAATCGTGTTTGTATATGCCCCGTTTGTATCGGACAATTCCATTATTTTCGTGGTAAGTTACAATAGGGAAACTGGCATACAGTATATCGGTTCATCTAGACACAGCTGCATTCTATCGGAAGAGCCTGGTTGGATAATACGGCCGTGTGCACGAACACATACAAAACCCCAGGGATGCCCAATCCATCATCGGGTGACGATGCATTGTAACTTCTGAATGGTGCCAATTTAGTACATTTAATCATTCCAAAACACACAACTTTAATGCAATTGTTTTGTTAACTGTACATTATTTATTTTGTTTCATGTTTAAATCGAGGACCACTACATCGTGACGGTGGCAGTATATTGTTACAATTCATAGAAAGGCATCTCAGAAACATCTGAGCATCTTAGAGTATGTAGTAAAATCTCATGTCCTTCATAGCAAATAAAATTTAATTTACATTAAATATTTAATGTTCAATATACTGTTAAAAAATACACCAGGAATATTTCCAAATACATTAAATATAATCAAAGACAACTGTACAGTTAAAAATCCTTGATATAATAAAATGTCCATTTTCACCTACGAATACATTATATGAAATAAAGTTGCCAATGACCACGATTATGTTTGTTTTCACGATCAGGGCCAGATTAAAGGGCTGTGGGGCCTGGGGCTGTAATTACAAGTGAGCCTACAATACTCTGGCTAAAACATAAAACCAGATTTTCAGTGATTTTTCCTGGGGTTCGGGGCCCATTTTTCCATATTGGGGCATGTGGGCCTGGGGCTGGCGTCCCAAAAGCCCCTACGTTAATCTGGCCCTGACCATTACTATAGAATTTTGTTAGCTGAGCATGGTTTCCATAAAATCACTACAAGCTACTGCCAACAGCTTTCAACATTGCTAATTTGGTCGGTTGAATTGATGCATCAGATACAGGTACGCAATAAACGATTGCAGTAAAACACAGTAAACAGTGTAGCAATTTTATGGCAACATTCTGATTTTCATGAATAAACTGAAACCTGAATGATAGGGTTATATTGATAATGAGATTTCAAACCTGAGTGTGCTTTTGGATAATATTCTGGGCCACTGCATAGTTACCTACATGTATATTTCAACAATTTACATCACACTCAAAACAACAGTCGTTTTTTTTAATACTAAACTGATTACATATAAAAAAGAAATGAATTAAAATATTGTTTTTTTTTGTACAACAATTTCAAAGTTAGACCATAATCTATGCCTGAATGACATCAGTTTAATCCTTTTTTTTTTTAATTTGAAATTGACTAACACACTTCTTCTGTTCTTTTATACACATTACTTCGAACTTCCTAGTTCCTCAGAAAATTATACAAATTAGCAATTACTTTGTTGGTCTAGGATTGAGATACCTGTATAAACCAACAATTGTCAAATGTTGGCAATTGTTAATTTCATTGGGTAAATATTCATGAAATAGACTTATAGAAATATTCCCTCCCTAAATAGTAAAAAAGCTTTTTGAATTAGGGCAAAATCAATAACATATTTTGGACTATCTATTGGGCTATTAAAATGAATTTACTTTACTGTTTAATTTTGTATCAATTACAGAAACAGTCAATTAAGTTAAACAATATTCTCTGCTCAATCAGGCATCTAATTTCTTATTTATCAAAAACACACGATTTAAAAAAAATGCCTTTTCAGCTTTTTTTACAAAAAGTTATTTAAATTTTTCTGCTGCAAATGCTACTTTCCATATAAAAATTTTACACATGATAATTAGGATTGCACTGCAAAAACAGGAGCTGCAGTTTTGTTGATTCTTATCATCTGACAAATGATCGCTGAATTTACATAGAAAAATATCATTTCTGTTTAAAAATTGTTTACATTCTCTACCTAAAGCATTATCTTTAAATTGTCTACACAGAAATTTAAAACATTGACAGTTAACTCTGAGAAAACATCACTGCACAGATGTGTTCACAACTAAAAGTACATTCCTAGAAAATGTAAGCCATTTATCAAAATTTTTGGAATGCCAGTTAGCTGCCCATGGATACAGTACTTGGTTGGCAGTGTGAGACATACATATTTTTTGTTGTTTCCTCATAAAGTTTCACTGATACTCGAAGGCCAACCAAATAGCATAAAGAATCGAATCACACTATTTGGGAAAGCAATGTGTCAACCTTGATTTTCATGAGTTAAAACGTATATGCTGATATTGAAATATAGATAACAAACGTAGTCTTGTAATCGATGTAACGATGGTTTGATGAATAACCAATTGCTTGAACCTTGACCCGGTATTCCTCCATTTTGTTGAACTCGCGTAGCGTGAAGAGCATTCCGCCTCCGGATGGATCACGTCGGATGTTAAACGGAACAGGCTGAAATGCATGATAATGAATTTGTTTTATATTCTTGAAAAAAAAGTTTCATTAGATGTTGTTTTGCAAAACTTTTTCACTATTGCATATAAATAAATTTATTTAATTTTTAAAAATCACAATATTCAAAAGGAAATGGCAAACAGATTATGATCAAATGTTTAAAATGTTCAGGTATATTCCTCTTATATTTCAACAAAATTTACACACAAAGATCATATATTTATTCTACAGTTCAGTTATAAAGTTTAATCATATTATCATTAGGCCAAATAAAAAAAATTATTGTGCTAATGAGCTAAAAAGGCTGTTATGCGATCATTTTGCTCTTCAATATAGATTTAAAAATGGTCTTTGTTGTATTTTTATGTATTTTCTACTTTTTAGGCATAAACAATATTTGGTAAAAACCAAAACATGGCCAACACAAGATTTTATTGTCCTTATCCTTATCATTATTACAGACAAGGACCATATCAAATCAATATTTCTCCATTACATCAAGTTAAATCTTATTATTACCATCGTTATTGTTACCATTATCATTATGTCGTTTGAAATACTTAAAATACATTTGTACTAATTACTTTACATAATATTACCTCTTCATTAGGATCATTGATTATTGTATAAACTGAGTTAGTGTGAATCCTCTTTTGTCCATCAGCTTCGTATACTGTATACAAACGAAGTAGATCTTGTCTGGCTTTGATCCCTCGTTTCAGAGCAATTGTCCTATAAACATACTCGTTTCGGCGTCCTTGACATCCAGTCTGGCAAATGCAACCACTGTGGAAACAACAATTTTGGGAGTGGATATTTGGTTTTGGAAATTAGTCCTGTGGCGGATTGCTATAAGCGGTCTTTAGACGGTCTTAGCGCTTAGCTGGCTTTAATTGTGATGTCACTACTGGTCTATGATTATAGACCATTGCTACACCATGGTCTAACCAGGTAGCAGTCTTCAATTTTAAAGCCTACATGGTGGAGGCTTAAAATGGTCTTACATCATTTTCATCCTGGCGTTACTACAGGTACTAGAAATATGTCTAGATCCTCAAAGACTAAGAATCAAATGACAAATATTCCTCAAGCTTCTCAACGTCTGTAAAAACCGGTCTACGTTCATTTACATTCATTTCGATAAAAATCATTTTTTGAGCAATCATAAAGACGACCTCAATTTTATGTTACCAAGGAATTTTTGTTTGCATTTCAATCTCAAAGCAGTCCTAGCGAAGACCATTTTATAGCAATAGTCCTAGCAGAGTGATTGTAGTAAGATTGTCTAAGAGATAAAGCCAGCTTTATTCGAGGAGTTAAGACTGCCAGTATGACAGTTTTATAGCAATCCACACCTGGGGTTATTTATAATAGTATATGTGGCAAAGACAAGCCAAACCTGTCACTTGTCGCAAAAATTGATTTTTAGTTATTAACACAGTGTTCAACAGCAAAATGAGAGCTATAAACTGATAAAAGAATCATTTAAATCCGACATTTCCTTAAGAAGTTACAAGCGTTTAAACATACAACTGTTTAAAGAACAATATTTGAGAAATCAGCCTTCAAAGTTTATGATTTCGGGCATTTCTCAAGCAGAAACCATCACCAAATCATTAAAAATTGTTGTTTTAACATTGAAAATGGGAAAAATAACAGCGTAGCATGATGTATAGATATATAAAGGTTAGTTTAGTGCAATGAAATAGATTTAAAAAAAATTGACATTCCAGCATGTTTTGGGGCTTGACCTGTTCCCCCCACTGCTCTCCTACCTTTACAGAAATAAAAAATTACCTTGTTGTTCTGACATAGCCTGCTGGACAAGGTGTGTCTATGCATCTGAATGAACCCAGCATATTGAAACAAGTCTTGTCAATACCACAGTTATAGTTTTCACATTCATTTATATCTAAGAAAACAATTGAATGTAATATATGTTATACTCAATATATATATATTTAATAACAACAACAAACATTTGCAGTTTGTAGGGGCAAGGGTTCAGTGGTTTAACTTCCATACAACTTATATTCCACATAAATCCAAGGATGCTTGTAATGTGTGTAGCCTACAACTCAACACTTGAAAAAAAACAAAGATGTACAGGGGATGGCTATATGAGTGTTAAACTACCGTATTCAAATAAATTCCTTGGGGAATTTATTGTTGAAAAGGGTTTTTGAGGGGGCATATATTGAAGTGTTTATTCGAGGGAGGCATTTAATTTTTTTGGTGTAAAATATATACGTATATACTCGAACAAACGCCTCTTAATTTCACTGTAAATGTGGGATTTCAAAACATAATTATTGCCAAAATATGTTATTGCATTATCATAGACTGACTGATCCCAACCAGGTTACAAAAAATGTAATTCCATTGGATTTGTTGACAGCTTATTCAAGGATTTATTCAAGGGAGGCGTTTATTCCACATGAAGCTCTAGAGGGGGCATTTATTCGAGGTGAGAGGCGTTTATTCAAAGCAGGGCGTTTATTCGAATAAATAAGGTGTATGTTCTCTTAATACTTTAGGTTGTTACCATTATAAACCAAAATATTAAATTATAATACTTTATACATTAATTGAAACACACTTCAGGTATTTAATGCATTTGCTCACAGAAAATAAAAGGGTTGCATTACAAAATACTTACATTTCATTGCAACAAATTTTGTTTATTGTACATTACTGTAGGTTTTCATAGCATAAACTGTAAATTTAAATTGTACTGTAACATTTAAAAGTTACAGATGTAAATTAAATAAACTGTAACTTAACAGTACTGCAACTGGAACACCAAAGTAATAAAAAGTTATGATTACCATCACAAGATAACCCATCACTATTTAGGCTGTAGCCAGATGGACAGTAACACTTGTAAGAGCCCACTGTGTTGATACACAAGTCATCTGTTGCACATCTGTGGCCATCTGTTATGCACTCATCCACATCTACAATAACAAAATATAATATAATAATATTTTCATAACATGTAACTATTATAATCGAAAACCATTGCCATAACAAACACCACCATCATCACAATCACAACAACCATCACCGTCGTCATCATTATCACAACCATTGCATAATCTATACGCAAGGGAGCGGAGCAGAGTATAAACTAAATGCGAGAATGTGCATCACTTGAAAAAAGTAAATCCTTTTATTTAAGTTTAATCGGCAAAAGCACGTTGCTATAAAGCAAAACAATAGAAATAATAATAAAATAAGTTTTTTATGGCAAATTTGTATGCCTAAGTATAAGTCTATTAAATATACCTACTGCCTAGGCCTAGGTTTAGTACTATGAACTATCCTGTTTCTATCAATATATGTAACTCGATACATAAATATTATTCGTGTAGAGATTACATACTTTTTCCTGGCTTTATCACAGCACTACTACCTAGATTTATAACATCAATATAAAGGCCTAATTACAAATATAAACATCAAAACAAAGCGTTTTAAATATAAAGGCGTCATACGTTACCAATACATATTCCTGAATAAACCTCCTCTCTGTAACCTTCCTTACATACGCACTTTCCTAGAATTCTGTTCATCATTCTATCTGGAGGACAGGTGATGGTTAAAGTCTGCCCTCCAAAAGACAGTCTGTCTGTAGGCTGTATGTACTGTATGCAAGACTTTCTGTCTGCAAGGCTAATCATGCCAGGACGACATATGCATTCATAATCTCCATCTGTGTTCTTACACTGATACTGGCAAACATTTGATTGTAGACACTCGTTTATATCTGTAAAAAATACAAGATAACTGTATTACTGTAACATATAATAGGGAACTTACAAGAATCTACTTCAGTTGCTTTAAAAACATATGATTTGTGTGCCCACTATCAAAGGATCACACAAACAACCAAATCAATTCACAGCACGTACACAGCAGACATGCAAACCAGCGCTCAACGTGCATCAATGAAAGAAATTAGAAGAAACACAGGCTTCGGAATGCCACACTTTACATCTTCCTAGAAACATAATCTACATAATCCACAAACTAAAAAAAAAAAAAAAACCCCAAACAACTCACAGCATTAAAGATACGACTAGACACAGGTGTAGTCAAAGGCCATTGATTTGGCTAATATTTTTAAAATAAATCAGCAGATACTCATATCTCATAACACTTACCAACACAGAATCCATCACGCTGTCGATATCCTGGTCGACAGTTGCAGAGATAGCTTCCATTGGTGTTACTACATACTGAATTCTGGCTGCATCGATAAGTACCAATTCTACACTCATCGATATCTGTAAATTACATAACAGTATAATGATAATGTAATGTAAAATTTAGTTAAGGTTTATTTCCATTTTTTCATTGTCTTCGTACCTTTTTTAAACGCATAAGGGCCCTTATTTGCACTACATACTGTAAATCCACCTATTAATATTATGATTATTACTTGAGTAGCTGAGCAGCCTGTAATTATTTTATTTTTTAAAATTTATTTCAACATCATCCAACAGCGACCAGTGTCGCCCATAACAGGATTGATACATGAAAATTGATACATAAAAAATTTATATAAGTAATATAACATTAAATTCAAATATAGGTGAAAAATAATTAAAAATATTAGAAATTCACTTGGTAATAGAAGTAAAAATAGTAGTAATTTTTTGATGGAAGCAGTTAAGACTATCAAAACATATATCTAAGGAAGGATTGCAACAGATAGAATTATATAACTTAGGAAGACGACAAATTAAAATCCAACGGTCGAGGATGTCTTCAGAGCAAGAAGCAGGAACATTACCAAACGTTCAGCATAAACAAGATTATTATGCTTGCTAATTGTTTCAATACATTTTTGCATTAACGAAACAAACTTCAACGAATTTAATTATGTATTACCAAAGTGTATATAACTGCAAGAGGTTAGACTCTCGTGGTTTCATTGGAACGCAATCCTATTTCAAAAATTACTGCCACAAAGGGACGTGTCCTTAAAAGACGAGTTTTGAGCAAATTGTTATAGGGCGCCCCCTATCTTGTGGCAATTTTTTTTTAAACATTTCACTGCATGCAGTCAGATCGCTTGCAATTATGTAAAAGACAGTTTTGAGTTGTGTATACCTTCACAGACGCGTCTCTCATTCCGTTGGTAGCCTGGTTTGCAAAAACATGTGAAGCTTCCGTAGTTATTTCTACAATTCTCAGTACTACTGCATACATCTGATCGCCTGCACTCATCAATATCTATAGATCAAATTTTATCTTTTATATTCCATGTTAGAATAATATCAATAATAATAATGATAATGATATTGATAATGTAATGTACTAATATCATAAGTAATACGTAATAATAAAAATAACAGTAATAACAGTGATATATATATAATAGAGACATTGATAAAATCAAATGAAACGGTTGACGTATTGATTTTATCAATGTCTCTATTATTTAATTTACTGGGAACATACGTGCTCGCAATCACATTGATGCCTACTCTCTCTCTCTGTATATCATAAGAAAAGTAATAATAACAATAAAAATATTTATATTAATATAAAAATAACAATACTATTATATTAATTAATCATAATAAGAATAATTATTATTATTTTATTTTACTAAATGTAATCTAAATGAATTTCATGCATTAATAAAATATTTTCGGAATACATTTTCTAACACTCCACGTGCTAATAAGTGTAATAACTGAGAATAATGATAGTGATCTGTAATAATAAAGATGATGATAATGATGACTACAATAACAATGAGTATGACAGACATGATAACAGTAATTTCCATGATAATGATTTTTTATGATAATGGTGATGTCATAACAAAACAATAAACATTAACAAATGGCAATGGTGTTGGCAATGATAATGGCAATACCACACTAAAACACTGGTTTTCATCAGGCAACTAATGTATACAACAGGCTCATGTGTATTTTTATGTGAATGAAGAACATTCACCAAGAATAGCAGGGGTTACCCGGTCTTCTTGTTCACCCTATTACTGTACTTGTTTAGTTATCCTTTCTGCATTGTCACCCCCCCCCCCCAACGAAAAACCACCATAACAATGACAACCGTGATGTATATTGGGTTGAACAGCTTTGGTGGTTAAGATGGTTGCATTCCAATCCTAGGGTCCTGGGTTCAATTCCTGTGACAGTAGGATATTTTTACATGACTAAAGTTCAATAGTCTCATAATGAGGCTTGATTCATGAAGCATAAACTAGACCCTGTATTAGAAAACTAAAAACAGGCAGGGGTCCCAAGTTGTCAAAGTCAAATTCCTGGTGATTTTGTCGTGCAGGATGTTTGCAACGCGTGTACTAGCTAAAACGCGTGTACTAGCTGAAACACATGTACAAGGACACGTGTGTACAAATTTATCGCCTAGTTCAACAGGCTTGGCCACTGTTAATACCATATTGCTGCTTAGAATATTCAATAAATCTTATGTCTTCCAGATTTAATGCATAAGAATGGGAAAATTTAACTTAGCATAAGCCCTAATTGTGAAAATCCATTAAAATCCTGGAGAAATACAAGAGAAATTCAAATTCCGGGAGAAAAAGTGGAATTTCCAGGATACCGGAAGACGAACCAAAATTCCTGGAGAATCCAGGGAAATCCAGGAGACTTGGGAGCCCTGAAAAGGTCACCCAGAAAAGAAGAAAATTAAGTTTGTTTATATAATGACAATGATATATATAATAATATGCAATTATAGTCAAGTTCTAAGGACCCTATAGAAAATAGAGGCCAAAGGAGCCTTACATGTAAATGAAAGTGATGACATCATGACTGACTTATAGCAACAATTATAAAGATGAAATGTGAACTAACTAGAAAGTGATAATGGTGAAAGTAACAATAAATCTAAATATGAATCGTGATGGTGATAATAGAAAAAATGATTGTATTGTTGTGAATATAGTGATCACCTCTGCACTGTCGGGAGTTTTGTAACTCAAAGCCGGTGCGACAGGTACATTCGTAGCTGCCGTAGGTGTTATGACATTCATGATGACACCGCCCTCGTCTGTACTCCACGCATTCGTCCACATCTACATTTTTTTAAATAAAGATATGAGATGCAATCTATGATTAATACTAGTAGCGGTAGCATAAGTAATACTAGACCTATCTACTGTAGTACTTGTAAACTACCATTTTACTATTTAGACTGTACTAGCAGTAGCAGCAGCAGGAGTATAAGTAGTAGCAACAGCCGCAGTAGTAGTAGTAGTAGCAAAAATTGTTGGTTATCACTTTAGTATACCAGTAATTTGTTAGTCTACTCTAGTACAACAACAACAGAAAAGTATCACTATTACTAACTGTAGCAGCAGAATCAGTAGTAATATTTTTTGTATCATAGAACTTAGTAGCACTGTAGTAGCACCAGCAAAGAAAAAAAAAACAGTAGGTATTATACAAATACAACATGGTTTGATATAAAGTAGTGAATTCCACTAAGTAGTGAATTCCATAGCCAAATGTAGTGCTACAAGTAAACAATTGTCGTAGTAGCAGCACCTGCAATATCAGTAGCAGCAGCAACAGCAGCAGCAGGACAAATACTGCCTGCATCCGCTGGCACCACCACTGGTTGTACTAATAGAAGTAGTAATAGCTGTAGCAGTATTAGTATCAGTAGCAGTAACTTAATATAATATAACAAATATATTAAAAGCACAAAATGTTGAACTTCCTGTATGCATAACATAAAGAATCAAGGCACATACTCCAATAACAACTAATTGCAATATGATTATTGAGTACTGCACATTGCGGAATTCTCACCACCTCATTACACTATACACCCCTTTGTTCATGTGCAACTCTATATGAGCTTTGTGTTAGTTGGTAATGAAGCAGTGTATAAAAAGGTAAAGTGGCATAAAAATGTAACACTCTACAGTCATCATTGGTATTAGGACATTTAGGTAAACTTTATCTAATATAATATTATTAAAGTCAATCAATCTTATTCTTCAATTTCAGTTTTCATCCAGTTATATCAAACTATGTTCTAACTAATCTAATATTATATACTTCTATCTTAATTACTCCCATTTGAAGTTATGAACATACCTACGCATGTTGTTCCATCTTCGGATATTCTTAAACCCCGTCCACATTGAACAAGGCATCTATAACTTCCAAATGTATTGTGGCATTGTGTTCCATTTGCACAACCACCGTTATTTATAGCACATTCGTTAATATCTTAAAGACAAAAAAAAAAACAGATTACCTGGGGGATTATATAGGAAAAAACATCATGATGTGATGTCATCATGACCATATTTAGGCATATCACATGTTTTTAGTCAAATAAAATTTGATAGTCTGGTCAGAGGTTTATATCAACAAACTTACCACTGCATGATCTTCTATTGGCGCTAAGTTGAAAGCCTGGGTGACAGGAACAGTAGTGGCTTCCCAAAGTGTTAACACAAATATCGACACACACTCGCAAATATGACTGGCATTCATTGGTGTCTGAAATTTAATAGATAATAACAACAATAAGTATCAAGCCCCTTCAACATGAAATTACATTTATATAATTAAATTTACAGTAATATTAATAAATATAACAACAGCAGCAATAACAACAATAATAACAAATATAATAATAATAAAGCAACTTACAAGTGTATCTGCTGAAAATGTGTGCTCAATAGAAGTATAATGGCTGGATTGCTTATTGGCTGGTTTTAGTAAAGCTAGTGACGCCATGTTGGGGAGCCCAAAAACGTCACAAATACAATGTCACAAACAAGTGCGTTGAGTGGTTAAGGAATGTGAAAAACATTTTATAAAATTAAAGTTTTAAATTTTAAGAAAGGTAGCTGCTCTGCTGGCTGGCGCCAATTTCACATGGCGATTTATCACTAGGCTTACAAGTTACAGTAGCATGGGCAAGCTTTGGCCCCCTTCACCTGGCGAGCAAGCTTCACTTTGAGTAGGCAACTGGTATGATCGCAAAACAAAAATAAACGAAATACTCAAGCGACTTCTTTTTATTAAGCTTAAAACTTTACAACAAATCCAAGCAAATTGTATTCCAAAATTGTGAATAACTTCGCTATGAAAAGCTATAATCCAAGTTACTTTATCCATCACGTAGGTGCAATTGCTGCTCGCTAACCGACTACAAAGGAAAGAGGACGCTTGGGTGTGGGTGCAGTCACATGCTGGGACAATCTGATGATTCTATTTGTGTTGTAGGTGTCTTAAAGGAAAATGGCAATTAGTCAGTTTATTCAGGCAAGTATTTACAAAAACAGACTTCAAATTTTGTATGAATAAGTATGGTAAGAATCGTTATTTAAACTAGAAATTGCAAATTGCAAGTGAAGTGCTGCGAAGTACAACTGCATAAAAATGTTCTTCAAACAAAATTATTTATGTGAGTCAAGTGAAAATAATGAATAATAAAAATATAACAAATAATATGAGACACGACCCATTGTCTATATTAGAACACTTCTCATTGGTAACAAAGTCGTAATTTTTCATTTTTGTCAAAAAGTGTCTATAGTAGTGAATTATGGTTTAGGTTTTTTTTAATAAAGTTTAAAAAATTTCTATGTATGTGGAAAATCTTTCAAAACATATTGATTTGTACTTATATCTTGTTTAAACATTTTGCTATTCCTGCTCCTACATACAAGGCCAAGTATAAGAAAAAAAATTGTTTTTCATTCCTGTTTGCTTCCATTTTTTTATAGCTGGCTCCATTTTTTTCAATTTTTAAAAGTTGTTTATTGAAAAGAGAAATCAGTATTACACTCCCAGCAAATACAAAATGTTCTTATAACGGTCGCAAACGTTGTTGTTAGGTAGTGTAAAAAAATAATGTTCACACAAGCAAGTCAAATGTTGACGTTATGTGATTAGGTTATAAGTATGTACTCATGGTTCTACAAAATAATGTTTTTAACACCAAACTGTAATGTTATTATAACATTCTTATAACATAATATTGTTCTGGGCTCTTTTCTTGTTTGTATAGTAGTAGCAATACATTACAACCTGTCTCTTATACACATCTAGATGTGTATAAGAGACAGGAACGAAAGAAGGAAACTCGGCTTTTCAGTTGTCTTAGGCATTTTTTTTTTTTTGACAAACAATGACCTTTCAGATGTCAAATTGCTGTCAAGAATATGAATTGGCTGCTTCGCAGCAATATTTTAAACAAATGAAAAAAAGACTAGTACTAGTACATCTCTATGGTGTCCGAGTCTTCAGTTTTTGCTGTGCAGTGAATGGCCAATGAGCAATCCAGCCATTATAGTAGAGATCAGTGGTAGATACACATGTTCAGATGGCAGCCGGCACCCTCCCATAACTGTGTAATAAGGCCTTATGTTGTATGCACACAAAAACCGACAAGAATCGCTTCGCTTTCGCCTCTGATAATTTTAGACCGTTTAAGTGTACTTACCTACACAATATGGACCAGTGTTGTCATAGGTGAAGCCTACTGGACATGTGCTGGTGAAAACTGCAATGGGCAAAAGGTATATTATCAATCAACCATATAATTTTCTAAATTGTTAATGTTTAAACTACTGTACCTTATTTAGCAACAAATTTCCAAATGATATGCATGAATGTGGAAGGGCAGTTGCTTTAATCCGATTTTAATTCCCAAAGCAGCCTTAACAGCAGCTGCTTCTCTCATTGCCATTCCAATATCAGCGTAATGTTGCTAAATGTTAAATTGAGTAATTAGCACAAAGAATGTGACAGTATTGTATATCTTCAGTACAGAAAAGCCATTATAATGTTACTCATAACTTTAGTATACATTTATATGGATGGAGTACTGATTCCCTCTTACATTCGTATGGAAAAGGGTACTGATTACCTCACATTTGTATGGAGAAAGGTACTGATTCTGTCTCACATTGGTATGGAAAGAAGTACAGATTCTCTGTCACATGCAAGGGTACTGATTCCCACTCACATTCGTATGGAAAGGGGTATGAGTTACCTCACAGATAATCTGTTTGGTTGTTAAGACGTTTTAACCTACCTGGCTCAATACTGGCGCGGATGAAAAGACCGAGCCTACCCTCTGCTGTTGAGTAACGTGTCGAAAGTCCATTTGCATTCAGTGTCTGTATTAGGGAGGGCATATTATTACCAACATAATAAATTGTGTGGTTCCAGTAATAGGGCATAGCCCTGCCGTCCACGAAAAGACTGCGTGTTGATTTGGCGTACAGCTTTCCTTCACCAAGTTGATGATACTTTTCTTCATATGGGATCAATTGGATGGAGGATGCTGTTCGTAAATCTGGCATGTGGCCATCAATCCTCACATCAAAGATGAGAGAATTCTGTTCATCTATACCCAATGCACTGACATTTATGTGCAAGGTTTGACCTATGATAGAAAACATAATGGTATAAATACTGAAAAAAACTGGAGCTTTTATACAGCACATTTTTTTTAAACAACAAAAATCCAATAAATCTGAAAAACTAAATAATAATATAAAAACTATTATATCGCACACTCCTCCTCAAAGAAAGAGTAGGTTCATGGCGTATTAATATGAACATATCCTCACCAGTGTTAAACTCGACTCTTGACTGCTGGCGGAAGATTCCATTTGTTAACATCAAACCGTTGACAGCACCATTTATCTCCCTGGCAACGGTCCAGAACACAGGGCTGATCATTGACAAGAGTATACGCATAGAATTGCCTTTATAAGATAATAAAATATATTTGTATTTATTTGAGAAAATATATTTATTTTTTTAAGGCATGAAAAAATATATTTATTTTTTTAAGGCATGAAAAAATAAAACAATTCTTTTAGCAATTATAAATATGTGTATGATTTATCATCCAGTTAAATTTTAATATCTATATAAATTTCAATGAAATAATAGTAAAATTGACAGTTGACTTTTTTTTCCATCATAAATAGTATTAAGATTTTAGCAGTCTAGCTGTTACACTCTGGTCTGCCAATCTCCCAGAAGAATTATATCACATCATCCTCATTAACACAAATTAACAACTTAGCCATCAATAACCATTGTACTGTACTTACCAAGCTCTTGTGGAATATCGTATATATCTGCATGAACTGTGGTATCAGTATCGGAAGAGGTGAAGTTACCATAAAGTAACCCACTTCTAATTACTACATTATTTATTGAACCTGTGACAGTGCCAGCCGTTTCCGTAGGCTTTACTAAAATACAAAATGATAAAAAAAAAAATTGCATAGTGTAAAAAGAATGATAAACTGATAGTTTACTAAAATGCTCTAATATGATTTAAAATGTTTATACTTCAAGAATAAGAATCTGCTCAAGGCAAAACAAACATAATTATTGACTGTAAAAATCTAATGAAGAATGTATTAATAAATAATATTGCAACATAAATATTGATGGTACATTTTATTAAAAAAGAATAAAACACAGAATTTGCAATGATCTCAACAATAAATGGTACAAGGTACCATTAGTCTGCAGAATCCGTGCTTCGAACACGTCATTCCATCTATAGTTATATTAGCATGAATTAAGAATAGAAGAGGGGTTTGCTCACCAAAACAAGGAGGCAGAGGGCAGCGTTTCTGTTCTACTGCTGATCCAAAGCAAGGGGCACCACTGAGAATTGGCCTTGGGTTATCACATGTTCTTTCACGGATCCTAAATACTTCTCCACAAGTTGCGGGACAACCGGACCATGGTCCAAACTCGCTCCAGCTGCCATCACCTTTAGAATACAATATTTAATCTTTAATTTTATGATTATTAACAAAATTCTAAAGCCTGCCACACACAAAACACATCTGCTTACACCAAATGTAAATGATGATGAGGTGGAGAAGGCTGATATTGATAATAATTATGTTAATAATGATGATGCCAATAAGAAGAATGATAATAAAAATAATATGAATAATAAAGATGATGACGACTCTAGAAAAATGATACAAATGATAATGATGTTGATGATATTAAAAAGTGGTTAGAATTGGAGTGATTGCAAAAGTCGTAAACTGAAAAAATATGAATTGAGACTTACAACTTTCTCTGAGTGTACATGCTTTGGTGTTGATACTGTTGCCAAAACACATTCGACCCTCAGGGCTCGGGGGTGGATTGTTACATTCTCTGCGTCGGATTCTTCGTCCTACACCGCAAGGACGGTCACACTGCTCCCAGTCTCCCCATTCTCCCCAATTACCATGCTCTGAGTTTTAAAACACGATTTTTGTAAATTTGAAAGTGTGTTAGATAAATATCTTACAATAACAATATTGACAACATTGTTAGAAATAACCAAAATTTGTAATGATATATTTAATATCGTGCAGATAGCATTTAAGTTTGTCTACCTTCAAAAGATTTATGGCAGCACAATAACTATTCTATTTCAAATATTTTTTGAAACCTTAAACACAAACATTTTACAATTTTATTTCATTATTAACATGCATTTCATATCATATTTTATACTTACACAAACAATAAATAATATATTATACAGATGTTATATATTAATATATCAATTAAATAAATAAGGCTAATGAAAGCATTATTATGCACAATTATTTGTATGAAAAAACAATGAATTTATTTATTTATTAAACCTTGGAATCAATTTGTGAAACAAACTGACAGAAAAATATAAGGTAAACATATGAAATTCCATGAGGTATCATGCTTTTTCTAGGACATATTCCATCCTTTAATTATTTATTGTAATTAAGGACTTGTCATGTAATAAGAATGTTTATTTTATTCTTAAAAAGACTTGAAGACAAGCAGGAATACTAACATGGATGAGAAGATAGTTGTGTATGGCAATTAAGAAAGAAAAATATAACAAAAATACATAGCCAACTTACGTATACATTGTTCTGGGTTGCATGTTTTGAATTGATTTGTAACACCCTCACAAAACAATCCGTTAGGTGATGGAGTTGGGTCTGTACATGAACGGTCTCGGAACTGCTCACCGCCACCACACGAAACTGTACAAATGGACCAATCGCTCCAATCTGACCAACCGCCATTGTCTAGTTGAGAAAAAAAATTTAACAATATACTGCAAAACTTTTTGACAATTATCAAATTCCATTCCGATTACATGGGGTTCTCATCGCCTTGATCTTCCACTGATTATCCACCCGCTTTTTATCAAGAACTACAAGGGGGTGCTTTGTACTGTAGGTTTCAAAAAATGCACTGCGACAAAATGAATTACTTCGTCAGGAAGCTGAGTAGGCCTATGTGTTTGATTAGCATTTGTTCCGTCTGTGAATTGCACAATAGGTCTTATCACTATCTTTAGACATATACATAGATATACTTTATTGTCACATCAATAAAAATGCGCGACTTGGTTCCTTCTTACAGTAACATATCTTTATTGCTGCACTTACATATACATGGTCCGAGGGAGCACGTGTCAACCTCGAATGGCCGTCCTTCACATGGTTCACCACCGTTAATTGGGGGTAAGCAACGGCGCTGTCTTTGCATGGTACCTTCACCACAGGTAGCGGAACACTCAGACCATTCATCCCACTCTAACCAATGACCATCAACTGTGATTACAAAATGTACTTAATTTTAAAAACAATAACTTTTTTTTAAATGCACTTATGAACAATAAATTTCAAGAAAAATTTTTAAATCTTACAATGTGATGTTCAACTATTTTCGATATTTTAACAATGCCAAAGAGCCCAGCTCTAAAAATCTGTCCTATTAAATATAGGCAATTCAATTTAATTCAATTCAATCATGACCTACTAGTAACCAGTGTTTATATATTTTAATGCAAATATTTGCTAAATAAATGAATCAATAAAATTAGATGAGGGAATCAAACAAAAAAATGCCAACTATATAAACAGATATATAGGTCTTAGACCTTACAGCAAAAACATAGTTAAGAACTTTATTAAAACATACTACGACACTCTCCCATGATGCACAGCACTTGCTCAGTGGTACGCCCTTGACATTCTCTGCCACCATATTGTGGTGCTGGGTTGTTACATTTGCGCTCCCTGGTGCGAATTCCACGCCCGCAAGTCTTTGAGCATGGTTCCCACGGTGTCCATGGGCCAAAGCCTCCATCAACTAAGGAGAAGCATGACACATTCAACAATTAATATAGATATTTGTCAATTTTCAAAGTATTTTGTGAATAATTCCTGGCAAATATTATACTGTATGTTTTGATAATGGATGATGATAATAATGGTGAAGGTGGATGATGATGATAAATTATGATGGATGATAATGAAAATTATGATTGTGATGGTGCTAATGATGATGATGATTATGTTGTTTTAACTAAATCATGGAATACTGTAGAGGCTAAGAGAAAAGCTATGAAGATAGGATCAAGCATCAAAGATAAAAGTGAAAAGGAGAAACAAGGAACAGAAGATAAAACAAAAGTGTACAGAATAGTAGTCCTAAATCTAGATTCACCATTATTACACCGATCTATACACACACTGACACATCCCTACACACCCTCAACCACACTCACACACCTTCAGAGACACATGGCTGAGAAAAATTACACATCATATACACAATAAAATACACAGTGTAGAAATACAGTACATATCAACACACATACTTATTATCTAACCTTTACCCTCCACCAAATATTGTTTCTCCAGCGAGTATATCATGTTTAACTTACTCGGACAATTAATATCTGCATTACAGTCCCGGTATTGAGCATCGGGCCCGGTGCAAAATCGCCCGTCATTTGCAGGCATTGGATTGTTACAAAGTCGCATACGTTTCTGCATGCCTGTTTCACCCTGGTGTCTACAAGTTTTACTACACGACCCCCATTGTTGCCAAGGAGACCAATTTCCGTCGACTAGAAACGTAATGGTTAGAACAGTGAGCAGACAGAGAAACACGGATGAAGTGAAGACAATAAAGGTTCTAGATTGAACATGATGCAAATACATTACAAATGCTTAAAATTAAAAGATAAACCATCTGTGCTTAAATCTAGAAAACAGATTGAAGCATTTTAGTTTTTTTTTACTACAAAAATACTGCTTATAATTGTATGCCAGTCAACTTAATTATCAAGAACAAAAATGTTGTGTTGCAATTTTCAATTAGAAAGCAAATAACTTACTTAAATACAAAGTAAGCAAATTAGATATTGAATTTTATTTTCAAAAATTGACTGGCTCAACACTGATGGTATATCTTTACCAAATACATCAATTTACCAATTATCATGCATTGACAAAAATCACCAAAGAAACATAATACAATAAACAATAAACAAATTAATAAATAATATAATAAATAAATACAAAATTATAATGTACATTAAAAACATAAATGATTAATAAATCAACAATGCAATCAAAAATAAAATCACATTTCAAGAAAAAATAAATATGGTCACTATCATCTACAAACATTTTCAATTGAAATACTGACACAACATGTTGGACAATTTGTACCAGAAGTGACTCATTTTATAGAGAAATTGTACCACTAATTGAACAACTTGTTCCACACAGTTAGATGAACGATGCCATGAAGTTGTCTCATGCAGTGAAATGATTCATCGTCCTTAGAAATAGCCTTTACTTAGAGCAATATATCTATAAATGCTCTTCAAAAAATTGTTCATGGTACAAATTGTCTACAATTCAAAACACTCAATTTCATTTATATTAAATTCAAAGACCTTTAAATTAATGTATGCACAATAACATGTAAAGAACATTCAACGCTTTGTGTTACAACATCACTAAACATGCATTAATGTTACTTTTATCTAACTTGGAATGACCAGTAAAATTATTTCCCCCCTGTCGGCATTACAACTAGACAAACGTGATGGACAATCATAAAATTGTTGCTTTGATGATTGATTATGTACTTCAAAAATTTCATTAAACAAAACCCGACAATTTTTGGCGCAGGTTGTGAATAGCATGACAGTGGAAATATTAATTGTTCATAAAAATATTTTTCTCAAATTTTAAAAGATTCTCTAAATAAAGTGTATTTTCAAATTCTAAATTAGTTTTCTTTTTACTTCATGCACTAGCAAAATGCAGAAGGCTACAAGATTGCATAACTACTGACAGAATATGGAAGAAATAAATAGAATACAGAAGGATCATATCACACAAATCAGAAGTGATGTTGTTTGTCTATGAGTGAGATACTTAAATGGATGAACATTTTCAATGAATATTCCTATTTCCTTTAGGGAACTTACCTAGAAAATAATAGAATTGTCCGACCCAGGCATATATAATACAACAATGTTATGTAACAGGCCTCAATTTTCCTTTCACTGTGAGTATTCACTTACCATTGAGTGCATTGTGTTGTTTTGTTTAGCTGCCAATGTATGCTGGCCATGCATGTCTTTGTTTCTTCATCATTATAGCCATTAGGCCAGAGCCTAGTGCTTACATGACATATTTTATGATGTGTGTTATTATTTTCGAGGTAAGTTCCCAAAAGGATAGTGGCCTGCATTGTTTCATTCAGGTAAGTATTCACGAAATGGACAAATACAACATACGCAAGGCAATTTAAGGACAATATTGGACACTAAACCAAACGGAAAATCTTTTCTTGGTAGCTCTAAATTATCAACCGTTTCCAAGTAACTTTATTATTATTGGCTCTCCAACTAAATGCACTCAATTAATGTATCATCGGCACCACAACCATCACCTCAACCACTTTCTGTGGCGGTAACCTACCTCTAATGGTAACCTGAGCACTAGAGAGTATGCTGTCAAATTCATTGGATGCTTTGCATGTGTAAATGCCACTGTCTTCTAATTGCGCAGACACAATCACAAGAGAGTTGTTGGAGAGGATGTTGAATTGTTGAGACTGACGATCAGCGTTGATGATGTAACTGCCAGGTCGTCCGATTAGCTCTGCATGCCATGTCATCACAGGTATAGGAATACCTTGGGCGGTACAATCCAGTCGGATCAGCTCACCCAGGCTGGCACTGGCTGCGACTGGTTCAATCAAAAACTGCGGTGGATCTAGTTAAATAACATGAAGCCATTTACATATAATGATATAAATATTTTTCATTACTTACAATAAAAAAAGGTAAAAATAAAGAAAGGAAATGTTATACAATTATTTGAACTGATTTATTAATAGTGAAAAAATAAAACTACCTTTTTTTTAAAGTGTTTTGTAGTTCAAAAGTCACTCTAGGTCATTACATATTACAGAAAATAATTTTCTTCCCAAAATATGAATCAAACAATTACAATGATCTAAACTATAGGTCATCAATTAAAAACAAATAATTTAAATATGCAACTTAGAATTATTAATTAAAGCATAATAGATAATATAGAATTGTAATTTTAAATAATGAGTTTGTAAATTTTTAATTGTAAATTTAATCCTCAAACCCGCTTTGACTGCTATGGTTTTTTTTATTCTGTAAATTTTGTATTTGAATAAATATACTAATATAAATACACACACAGATACCTGTCTCTTATACACATCTAGATGTGTATAAGAGACAGGTTAAAAATAAAAATAAAGTAATTACATGATACACGGAGCTCTGAAATGACTGAGGCTTCTCCGGCTTCATTGATACCAACACATCGGTATACTCCAGAATCAACTTCCTGCAAAAAAGAGTATTGTTTTGAAATGAAACAAAGCAGATAATAATGTCAAAATTTATCTGTCAGATTTTTAAGTTCAGCTTTGTTCTAGTTTTACTGCGAAGACCAGTGCATATTTGAGTTATAATTATAGTTGAAAGCTACTGAGCAGCAAACTCTTGTACATTTTTACATTTTACATGGGTAGTGCCAGCAAATTTTTGGGGGGTGGGTGCAGCTTTAGGGGTAGGGTCCTACGTCAAGGAGCATTACTGTTGAAACCCTTAAATTGTCATTGTTTCCAGGGATTCGCTCCCTGGGCCGCTTCCGGGAGATTTTGAGCAACGCCGACCACGCCACTTAAATTTTTGTAGGGGAAATCGCGCCGCCCATTGGAGATATCGGACCACCTGTTGGAAAAATCCTGGCACCATCCTGGTTGGGTGAGGCATTGTCTCTAAGAACCTAGCCACCTGTGGCAGGACAAGATTGTCATGGAAGCCGAGTAGGATTACTGTCATGTAAGTGTGTATCTAAGCAGTTCCTAGCTTAATATCATTGATGAGAAATCAAAAGTAGAAATGGAAAGGTATGATTTCAATATGGCCATTGAGTCCAGTAGAATTAAAAAATATAACATATTGTTGGCAGCAGACCAAAAAAAAACCTTACGTTAGTATCGTGGATCACCAGAGAGTTATTGTCTGCTCTCACGATACGGTTGTCAAGTGAAACAGGCTCGCCATCCTTAAACCACATGACTCTTGGTTCTGGGAAGCCAATCACATCGCAATCAAACATTGTGACGGACATTGGCACGGCAGTCCAGGAACGTGGTGGTTGCTTCATGATCCTTGGAGGCACTATGAAGATAAAATGATTATTTGGTGCAGACACATAGATAAAATTATCAATTAATTAATAGCAATCATGAGGTAAAATGATTTATAATTATATTACATCAATTGTTCATAGCTGTACCTCTTATGCGGACAACAGCATCAGCAATTCTGCTACCGGCTGAGTTTTCTGCTACGCAGGTGTATTTTCCAGCATCTTCTTTCATCACGTTGACAATCCTGTAAGTACTGCTGCCATTGATGCTCACGGTTCCTGCAAGAGAAAAAAACAACAAATTATCAACAAATGTTATATTGGTATCTTTCACATGGATGCTATACAGAGGTGTAATATGGTCTGCTAACACGTATAAGTGTTGGGTTGTTAGCACTTTTAGGTTGGCTTATGCATCTTCTAAAACTGCTCCCTCTGCTTATATTATGAGAAGATGCGGGGACAGTTGCCTCTTGTCTAATCTTTTGTTTTCTGTTGTCTTTTTTAAAATTTTTACTGTTTTATATACTTCAATCTCTGTTTAATTTGATTGCAATAAAAATATTTTGAATTTAAATTTGGATTTGTTCAATGGGGTCCCTAGTCCGACATTCTTGGCACGTCCCACCAATGCACCCATGGCTAAGGCGGTTATATTATACACTTTATCTCTTTAGGTAACAACTGGGAAGGTAATCTAGATTGTTGTGTGGGAATAGTGGCCAACCCCCACAGCATTGTACAGTCTGGAACAAATGCCGTTGAAAAAGAGAGGAACACTCTGGCCTGTGGGCCAAAAGAGCAGGTTTCTACTTTACCTTACTGTGGTCTTACCTGGAATAATGGTATTGTTCACTTTCCATGTGATCTCAGGTGTAGGCGTACCAATAGCTTTACAGTTTAATTCTAATTCTTCGTAAACAGCAAGCTCCAAGTCGTTAGGGAAGACAACAAAGTCAGGACGAACTGTTCAATAACAAAAAAGGTAAAATTTCTTGTCTTTGTAGTTTCATTACAGTGTTGATATGAAAATATCACAGAGTTCATAAAAAACTTTAGGATGTCATTACATAAATGCGTAGTTTTAAAGGGGCAGATCCAGAAATGTCCGAAAGGGGATCCAAAAGAGATAACACCACCAGGTTCCAGGAAATTTTGGTGTTGTAGACGCCCAAAAATAACCTCTGAGGTGCTTTGGGCAATAAATTTTTTATTTTCTTTCTTTCTGTCTTTTTTTATGTTTTCCAAAAAAGGAAGTGGGGGGGGGGGGGGGCTGGTGCCAGGCCGCGCCCACTAAATCTGCCCCTGGTTTTATTAGACAATGTAAACACTTACCTTTGACAACAAGCTCAACACTGAGAGACATTCGTCCAGCAACGTTAATTGCAGTACATACATACTGACCAGCATCGGTTCTCTACAGAAAAAAAAAACAGTTTAGAAAAAATAGTATCCGTCACTGTCACTATTGTATAAATTTATAACTACAGTCAATTAAAATAAAAAATGATGCTTCGAAAACATTATGTTAAAATATATCTTGTGAGACCAATTTTATAAGAGCTGAGAAGAGTGACTACCAATGACCATCCTTATTAACATTTAATAATAAACAATAATAAATATAATACTGCAATACAGAAATATATAAATCCCCTGCAAAAGCAAGAGCAAAATGAAAATTTAAAGAACTCTAAAGATTACCTCTACTCTCTCAAACACAAGGGTGCCAGATTCTAGGATAAAATAACGGCTACTCTCCTCAATCGGTTGCCCATCTTTGGTCCATGTAATATCAGGCTTAGGTGCGCCATCGACCACACATGGCAAGGCAGCACGGCTGTACAGGCCGATGTCGTATGTTCCCTGATCTTTAGTGATCGTTGGTGGAACTAAACAACAACAAAAATGTATGTATTGATATGCATGGAAGTTATGATTACAGTTCCTAATAAAATTTGTTGTGTACAAGCACAATTTCTACCTTCCTAAGCCATAAAAATCACCCCCACCCCCAAGCAATGGCTCTACTCTGGCCTTTTGGTTAAAATCATCTTGTTCGCAATTTTTGGAGAAACATTCTTTAGTACACAAGCAGTGGTTACCATCAGATTAACTCAGCACTAGACTGCTCTTCTATAGTAAAAATATTGTATGTAGAGATATTAATTAAATAAGTAAAAATAATAAATAATAAAGTACATACCTAATACTTGAAGTTGGATACTGCCAGACACGCTAGAGACATCGTTCTTAGCAAGACAAGTATATCGACCAGTATCTTCAGCTCGTACATAAGGTATTTGGAGAGATCCAGTAAGGCGTTTGACATAGCGTCTGTCAGAGATCTCGATGCCATTGTGCAGCCACTGAATTTCTGGTTTTGGAATTCCTGTAGCACTGCATTCTAGAATAATGGCTTCCTCTTCAACAGCTGAGTAAAACTTCTCAGGGATATTGATAGTTGGAGCAACTGATAAGAAAATGAAACAAACATTTAAAAAACAAATTTAATTACAAAATACATAAAAATGACAATAACAAAGTTATTTTCGCCCATGTGGCGACTGTAGTTCCTATGCAACCTATGTTTTATTCATACTGTACAATGACCAGTTACTTCAAGTGTGTGCACCTTGTCATGTCAAATACAAATCAGATTCTGGGACAGACCTCTAATTTGACATTAATGTATAGCAGGCATCTAGATGATACTAAAACTGGTTATATTTAATATGATACAATCTTTCAAACACACAGTTGTTTTTTTATTTTGCAAATTAAAGATTTTTCTGATATAGGTGTCTTAATCAAAATTTAAAAAGGTACAAAATACACTGTACCTTGTACTTGAAGTTCTATCTTCATTGCAGTTGTGCCAGCCTGGTTGGAAGCTATACATCGATAGATTCCGGCATCTTCAATTGTGGCTTCTTGAATGTAAAGCATGCCATTAGAAAGGATCTTGTATCCATCATCATTATCATTTCTATCAATGATGTGGTAGTTCTTCTGCCATGTAATCTGGGGTTTAGGAGTGCCAGAGGCATCACATGGCAAACGTACCCTCCTGCCAACCACTGTCTTGATAGTGTCCAAACCACGGGTGATTGTTGGTACAACTAAAGCACAAAGAGAAGTTCTATTTAGATTAACACAGTGATTAAGACAGAGAATTCTACTTCTCACATCGTATCAAATTCCTCACTTCATTTGTATTCAATACCATTTTTGAGCATTTTAGACATGTTTTTGCAGATGCACTTTGTTCACTGTTAATTATCTCTCATTACTATAATAATTATCTTTCACCATCAATGATGTGGTAGTTCTTCTGTGATGTGATCTGGGGCTTAGGAGTGTCAGAGGCATCTACATCAGTGGACACACCATGTCTGAATTATACCCTGAGATAATTTTAAGAGTTTTAAGTGCTAGTCAGTGACACTGAGAGCTTACCTAAGACCTGGAGGTAAACTCTGCGCTCAGACTCTCCAGCGGGATTTGAGGCTATACATCTATAGAGGTCAGTGTCGGTGGTAGTAGTCTCAGCAATGAACAGACCATTATTTGTCTGGACAAACCTAAAACAAAATCAACAAAAACAGTCATTTAAAATGCTAATGATACTAAATGCCTAATCACACTTTCTCACTTAATGTATTTCTTTTACTTATTGCTTATTCTAACCAAAAGTTTAGAGGGTAACCATTCCAGTAAGGATGATATTTAAGAGACCCTCTCAATTAAAATCAAACACAATACACAGCATATCTAAATTACTTTAGAAAAATATAATTAAAACATACCACCGGAGTCTCCACTGAAAATAAGTTGTAGATTATCTGACCTAGATATTTACACACTTGACATACCTTGCACTGTCTACTGGAATGAAGTTATCTCCTTTGAACCATGTCACAGTCGGTGTCGGTATGCCATAATTGTCACAGGTTAGCGTTACCTCTGAGCCAAACTCGACACTAACCTGCCCCTCACTTATATCAGTGATGGTGGATGGTACTGAAACAGGTAATTTGATATATTTAACTCCCTATATTGCAAATGTGTTTCAAATGTATTTCTTTACATTAAATTACACAAATCAATTGTGATGTTGGTAGTCTATGAGTGAGATACTTACCTGGATAAGCCGACTAATTGCAATTGTTCCCAAAACGGAACACCCCTTCGGAAAAAAAAATAGAACAGTCCGACCCAGGGCGCCACGTACGAACTGTCTCCCTAACAATCGTCCTCATTCCCTATTCTACGTTGTTCGTTGAAGTAGCTCCTTTGTAACGTAGTAGCCTATATTGCTAAGACCACATGTCTCAGATTGTGTTCTTTGTTATCTTTTGCAAGAAGAATTCTTGGATTGTTATTTTACCTTGGAATTTTGGATTTCTTTTCAAGAACTTTTAGACGTTTAGCTTGAATTGTAGTCTCTTCTTTAGTTATACCCGCTCACAAGTCATTGTGCTCGGCGTGTGGGGCCCCAAACCGAGTGTAAAACTCAATAGACACTCGGAGTGCCCTTTGTGTCACTCTTGCAGTAAAGCGGATACTTGCGAGCACTGGTCCCCAACTAAGTTTGCGGCACCTATGGACGACTCATTCGAGATTCATGATTCAGAGGCTGAGGAGCTCCCTCAATGAACGTGGAATAGGGAATGGGGACGATTGTTAAGGAGACGGTTTGTAAGTGGCGCCCTGGGTCTGACTGTTCTATTTTTTTTTCCAAATGGGTGTTCTGTTTTGGGAACAATGGCAATTAGTTGGTTTATCCAGGTAAGTATTCATGAAATAGACTGTTGTTGTATACAATAAAATGAAACAGCATTTGTAAAACTCCTCAACAATTACCAGATGCCCAAATAATAATGTTTCTATACATAGACCATTAAGTTGCCTGGTAATTAATTTCAGGAGTTATGTAGTTAAAAGTATGCTACATATAATTTTCTTTAAATATATTAATGTTTATATTAAATTCAGATGGCAGAATAGCTTTTAAAATTGCTATTTCAATTAATTCGTTTTAAATTTTGATTGCAAATTAGGGTTTTTATTTGGAGTATATTTCAGCCTGTCTGATATAATTTTATGTATGAATTTATAAACCAGAATAAAAAAAAATTACTAAAATATAGAAGATTACATATATATTATTTAATTAAAATTAATTGCAACAAGACACAAACCTTGGACTTGCAGGTTGAAGTACTTTTCCTGTTGGCCTGCCACATTAGTTGCAACACATCGATAGACTCCATCATGCACCAGCTGTGCATTCTCAATGGTCAATTGGTGCTTCTTTTGGTCAAATCGTACACCTAACTCACTACCTGCCAAAGGTATCTCACCATTGTACCACTCAATGGTTGGTTCCGGTGTGGCTGTAGTGGTACAGTCTAGGGTAATGGCTCCATTTATGGTGACGCTTTCATTAACTGGGAACTCAGATCCAAATATGATTGGTGGTACTAATTTTAAATAAGTATAAAAGTATATTAAGTTTCATCAACATATTAAAAAAAATTGTTCAGTAACTGCTTTTACATATCAATACAGATTCAGATAAAGTTTACTTCTGTTCCACTGTTGTTTATTTAATGCAACTTGCGTTACCTACCATTAACAGTTAACTCGTATTCAATACTTGTGTTGCCTGCTACACTGGAAGCCACGCACATGAAGTGACCAGTGTGAATGACATCAGCACGGCTAATGGTCAGCATCTGTCCGTCCCACGACACTGTAACGCCACGCTCGTTAGGTGTCACTAAATTGCCGTCCTTGTACCATGTGATTTTCGGTCTCGGATTGCCAGAGACATTGCACGGTAACATAACTTGCTTATCCTGGTCAACAGTTATCGGCTGAGGTCTCATCGGGAACACAACATCACCGCCACCAATAATTGTTGGTGGTACTACAAGTGAAATAAATTAATTTTGAAATATTTCTCATTGTCATAATACATTTATTGTATTTTTGGCTTTTTGTACTTCTTGCCTAACAATTGCCTCTTTACTTCTTTTGAGTTTAACAGTTTCATTTTTTTTACTTTCCAACTTAAATGTCATTTTGGTACAATTTATTTCTGTTCAGTTTCTGCAATATACCATATCTTTTTTTGCTAATTATTGTAGTTTTGGTGTTACATCTACTACATCACTTTTACAAAGTTTGAATAAGTAAATTTATAATCAGTTTCACTTCCATGGAATTGTGGTGTCGTAATGTGGATTAATGACACCACATTAATATTAATTAAAATAAGTGGTGACAAAAAAATAAAATTACTTTTCAAAAATGAATTAATTGCTTACAATTATTTTACTTGAAAGTAACATATTTTGCTTTCAAGTATAATGACTGGATATTCATCAAAATTGAAACTTACTGTGAACTGTTAGACCCCAGAATTTTGTATCTTCACCAACGCCGTTTTCTGCTATACAGGTGTATCGCCCTCCATGCTCGGACACTACACTTGGAAAGTGCAATGTCTGACCGTTGTCCAAAATTTGGATGTCTGGAGTCTTATCTACAATGGTCTCTCCATTCTTCTTCCAAATGATTGTGGCATATGGAACGGCATCGACAACCTCACAGATCAAACTTAGTGGATTGTGGAGGTAAACCACAAGGTCGATTGGCGTAAATGTTTTGTTCAAGATGCGTGGTGGTACTGACAACATTAAAAAGAATCGGTCGTAAATTTGAATAGATTATTTAACTTTGACAAGGATCTTCTAACAAGGCAGAAAAATTGACAATTAAGCCTAAATGAGGAGATCAACGCAACACAATGATTTATTTTTTCTCACATCTACATAGCACAACGATCTTCTTTTTATTTCTCATTTCACACTTTTACATTTTGTACATTTTAAACACTTCATAATAAATATATTTTTTGTGTAAACAATTTTATTATAGGTAAATAAACAATAAATACTGGATAAAATATTGTACCTCTAACAGTAAGATCCAGCATCAAAGTGGTGTTTCCTGCAACATTGGTGGCCAAACACTGGTAACTACCAGAGTCTGTCCTTACTACATCTTTAATTTGAAGTGTGCCGTCACGCTTGATGTTGAATCGAGGGCCAGAAACTGGCTGTCCATCTTTGAACCAGTAGAAGTCAGGAACTGGGGTACCGGTTGCTGGACAGCGTAAATTCATGTCCTTCCCTTCTGGTGGTGAGTATTCAACATTAAGTTCTCCAGATATATCTATATTCGGTCTTTCTGTAATTAAAAAAAATTTACTATTATTTTACCATGTGCTTATTAATGTTAAAATATAGAATCTATCACTCTCGATACATCATGTAGAAGGGCAAAACTACAGATTTTAGAATCAATTTGATGTTAAAAAATGCCTCCTTAAAAAGACTTGCAACAGGTACAAAAGGCTGTTGATTATTTATAGCCTTTGAGGTTAGCATACATAACTACAGGATAAGGTACTGCATGCATGCCCATCTGAGCGGCGGTGCAACAATGGAGGAAAGTAAGTTGGAATGCATAAAGGTAGATTCACATCAAATCCGAATTTGGTTCGTATGGTTCACGAAACGGAAAAAAAAAATTGAATCAGTGGTAAAGAATAGAAGCCCGTACTAGACGCACATCAAAAACGTTCTAGGAATTTTGGTTCGGATCGGGTGTGAATGCAGCCCAACGCAAGGTACTATTACATGGTCAGGTGAGGTAGGTGGGTCTTTAGGACTTAATCCCTACTCTGAGATGCATAGCATGATAAGGTTGGGGTATGTGGGTCATTAGGACCTTAGTGGATTTACATCCCTACCCCAGGATGCATAGTTTGGTTAGGTGGGGTATGCGGGTTATTAGGAACTTAGCGCAGTGACATTCCTACCCCTTATTGCATAGTTACTAATATACTTTGTAGACAATATTTTTAATTTGTCGCTTGTTTTTTGTGATGTATTTTTGTTGTACAAATATTGGCCCTTGATGGCATTTGTATCAATAAAGAAATTTGATTGAAAATTTTATTTGTTATGTTAGTTTCTTATTTTAAAATGTTTATCTGATTTGATTTTTACCCTTTGTATAAATGAATGAAAGGAAGATATTATATTGGCAATTCTTTTAAGGATCTACAAAATATCAGAGTTGTATTTTACCTTGTACAAACAAATGTATGTCCTTCTGAATCGTTCCTGCAATGTTTGAGACGAAGCATGTATATGTTCCTTTATCCGATTCACGGGTACTATTAACATACATTGATCCAGATGACAAGATGATATAGGCAGCACTCTGGTCAGGGAGGACTGTGCCTTCTTTTCTCCACTGAAATGTTGGACGTGGGTTGCCTACAGCTTCGCATGGTAAAAGCACAGGGTCTCCAGGAGATACAACAATAGCCTCCTCTACTGGGATATCACCAAATCGAGGTGGAACTAATAATGGAGTAAATAAAATTAATAAAAGTGAAAATATTGCTATACAAACTGCATTTGATAACTTCTGTTCTTTACACATAAAATTTATATAAATAGATAAAAATATAATTAAAATACATAATTAAATATGCACATATAAATATATTGATCTACCTACTGATTGATTGATTTGATTGATTGATTGATTAAGTTCATTAGTTTCTAGAGGTAGTTTAGTATGTTTCAAAAAACATTATTTAAATTTTTCACTGATGTTTTTTAATATGACTGAATTTGTTATCCGGTACTCCAATTCAGCTATTGGGCTGCTATTGTACTAATGATGAATAAAATAAATAACTTAATTAATTAATTAGTGACATGTTTAATGTTTAACTCATTATTTTAAAGACATATTTACCCTCAATCTTTTTTAGCAGCTAATCCTTAGGTTAAGGTCCACTTACAGTAGGTCCCTTTAAGCAGTGAGTTAGACCATATAAACCAAAGTTCTATGTTATTACTGGATACACCAATGGTGTGTGCACGAAACAAACCCAGAGGTTTTTAGTAGTTAAAGTATAAACTAACAAAACCTGAATTGTTTGAATCTGTATTTATAAACTTAACTTATTTTAACATTATCATTTTAAATGAGCATTTGAATTTTTGAATTAAAATTTTGAGTGTTTTCATATTTTACAACACAAATAAAATTTTACAATTACCGTGTGTGATAAGGTGGATAGTTTTTGTAGCATTACCAGCTGTGTTATAAGCAACACAGACATAAGTCCCAGAATCCTTATCTGTTGCCTGTTTGATTTCGAATGAGCCACTCTCCTGGACATTGTGGTTGATGTTGTTGCCAAATATCTCTTTGCCATCTTTGTACCATTTGACATAAGGCTGCGGGTACCCCTGAATTTCGCACGGTAAGACAATGCCACTCTCAATCACAACTGTCAAATCTACTCTTTGATTGTCTGTTATAGTTGGAGGAACTAAAAACAAAACAAAAAATATCACTTGGTAACTAATTTTGATATAGATTTAAAATCATTTGTAGCAGAAGGGTCCAAGAGAATAGTACAGGCTCAGACTTAGTGCATTGGTCTATAAAAGACACCAAATGGCCATGTAAATGTTATCATGTAGCAGATCAAAGCCACACAGGGTTTTCTCATAATTTTATGGTTTGATCCTCATAATACAAATAGTAGCTCTCACACCACAGTTAATACTATTTCTGAAGTGTAGTCGTAAATATGCTATCTAATATTATAAATATTCATAAATAGTGACCAATAGTGGAAGTGTACTCTTAAATATGCTAATTACATTATAAATTCATAAAAAGTGACCAATATTGGAAGTGTTCTCATACCCTGGATTTCAATATTCCAGTGTTTTGTTGCATTTCCTGCAACATTTGTTGCCATGCAGAAATAGTTGCCCGTGTCATCTTCTGTGGAAGAGAAGATCTGAAGAGCACGGCCATTTCCGATGACTTGAATGTTTGGTTCATCACCAGTAAGTAGCTGGTTATTCTTGTACCAACTGATAACAGCAGGGGGGTAAGCGTCAGTGACCTGGCATTCAAGGTAGATTCTGTTGCTCTTTACAACTGGCTGGTTCCTCTCAACAGTGGATCCAGTAATCTTTGGTGGCACTAAAATTGATGTTAGGAAATAGTAATAATAGTTATTCATTATATTTATGTTTAATGTTTAAAATTTAATATAATGTTGCTAAAAACAAGAATATGCAGCAACATATAAATATGCAACAAATTTGTATAAAGTTTGATATTAATTATAAACATGAAATAAATATAATTGATCTTTTGCATAATGTAAATTATATGTATGTATACAGGGTATAAAAAGCCTGAAAAGATCTCACTTATATCTTACTAATTTCTTGGACTTAGAGAGAAAAAATTAATCTACAAAGGATACTGAAATTATTATGTGAATTTTGGCACGCACTGTACTGATATTCGTCGACAGCACTATTTTATAGAGAACACAACACACCTGGGTGTATGAGCAACGGATCGTATTTAATAATGATCTACTAAGACTGCCACCACAATCAGCAGATGAGGTCATGTCATCAAGCGATTTCAGAAAGATGGATTTGTCGGCTAATAATGGTTAGACCAACAGCTGACGCAGTGTGCATGGCTTCAGACAGACAGATATACCACAATTTATCTAGTCCATGAGCAGTCATAATGGTATTTTTCATATATATATTTTTTCTTATAGTTGTTTAATTATATAGCAACTTTCTTTTCAGATATGAAGTGCTTTTGTACCAGAATATTGGTCCACAAGTGTTGCTGCTGTAATCAGCAGGCTACCCCACAAGGTACCCATTTACCTCCTAAGTCTAGAAAACAATGCAGATAAAGTGCCTAGCTCAAGAATACAAGAAAAATGCACAAACCACTTCTACAATGAATGTAATCATAAGAAATAATATTCTCATTGGTGCCACTTTACCTTGAACTGTCATCTCAACATCGACCGGTAACACTCCAGCATCATTAACCGCGTAACAGGTGTATACACCGGCATCCGCCGTATCTACTTTGCGAATTCTCAGTCCGTTCTCAGTCTGGATGTATTTGAGTCCATCGATCTGCAACTGCCGGTTGTTCTTCCACCATGTGACCTGTGGCCTTGGAGATCCACTCACCACACAAGGTATTGTGACATCATTTGTAATGGTTGCAGCAACATTGTCTGGTGCATTGGAGGTTGGTGATGGAGGAACTGGAAAGTAAATAAAATTAATTACCATATATAGCCTCAAGGGAGAGTAAGAAACTCTAAGTGTCATTCTCAGGCATTTAGAGGTGCTTATTCTTAAAACATCTTAAGATACAAGATTCTTAAGTCAAAAAGATGTCCTAAGCAAATATCTTAAACTGATTTATCAAATCATCTTAGCAAAATCTGGCTTAAAAATCGCCTTATTGTACAATGTGCTTTATAATTTTAAACAATTTTGACGATAAGTAATATTGATAAATTTGACTTAAGCAAATAAATGGACCTAAGACAAATTTAAGCTGATTTCTTGTTTGATAAATCCAGCCCCACACCTCTGTGAGGGCTGAGGTTACTAGCTTTGCAAAAATGTCTGAATATTAATATACAATACTGTAATATTGGATATATCTGTGCAATTGCTAATCACCACTCAAAACTAAAGACTAAATATGATTGCGATTCACGAAAATAATAATGGATTTTATATAGTGCCTTCTCACCAATAAATGCAAAGGCACTGTAAATAAAATATTAAATATGTCTCAGAGAATAAAATTAATATTACAGTATTACTATAATAACAAAATAAAAAATAATACTAATAACATTAACAATATTTATAACAATATAACTAGAAATTGCAAATTGCAAGTGAAGTGCTGCGAAGTACAACTGCATATAAATGTTCTTCGAACAAAATTATTTATGCAAGTCAAGGGAGAATAATGAATAATAAAAATATAACAAATAATATGAGACACGACCCATTGTCTATATTAGAACACTTCTCATTGGGTAACAAAGTTGTAATTTTTCATTTTTGTCAAAAAGTGTCTATAGTGAATTATGGTTTAGGTTTTTTTTAATAAGTTTCAAAAATTTCTATGTATGTGGAAAATGTAGTTGATTACCAAAGGTTACAATTTTTATTTTGAAGACTGCATGGTCTAGGAAGTGTACACTTTTTTTTTATGGGGCAAGTTTCCAAGGGCGGGTTTTCTAGGGGCGAGTTGACTGCCAAAGAGTGTTGCCAAAGTGCGAGCCAGCGTCTTATTTGATCACAAGTGCGAGACATCGCAAGTGTGAGCCAGCGAGCCATGACGTCACGACAATAGATACGAGACTGAGATTTGTGGAGTACAATTAAAAAAACAACTATAGGTCTAATAATGAATTATTGTGATGTTAAATAGACAATGTTAGCTATCAAAGAGCGGAGTTGTTTTTCATTGGGACCTTCGTCCCTTCAAGGCTAGGCCTATTATACCATCCTAGCCAGTCTAGGCCTAGAGTAGGATAAGGCTAGTGCGACATGCGGACGTTGGTACAGTGTTGGTTAGTCTACAAACGTCGCCTAAAGTAATTGATTTTACCCGGCAGAACGAAAGAAGGAAACTCTGCTTTTCAGTCGTCTTAGGCCCTTGTTTTTTGACAAACAATGACTTTCAGAGGTCAAATTGCTGTCAAGAATATGAATTGGCTGCTTCGCAGCAATTATGATTATTATATATTCACACCAAAAGTTTCAGAGCATTTACAATGTTAATATGTGCTGATGGCCCACAATATCTTTAAAGTCAGACTCCGAAGGAAAAACAATTTTTGATATGTTGTAGAACTGATGTTTGACGAAAAACTGGGGAATGGTGAACAGGATACAGATTTTTTAATATTAAAAACTGGGGAAAAAAGGGGTGTAACCGCCCATTTTTACACCTTTTCCCCCAAGTTTTCAAATATTCAAAAATCTGTGTCTCATTCACCGTTGCTCAGTTTTTGATCAAACTGCTTTTTTCTGTCTTAGAAAAATCAGTTCTACAACATATCAAATATTTTTTTTCCTCTGGAGCCTGACTTTAAGTACGAATAAATACAGAAAACACATTTACTGAGAACATCCAGGAAAATCTTTCTGGTAACGACTCCAGCTTCATTTTCCGCAATGCATCTGTAAGTTCCTGGATCTTCTCTCGTTGTTGTCAGGAAGTGTAGTGTTCCTGATTCCACTTGCTTCATGGTTTGGTTGTTGATAATCAGTGGAGCACCGTTCTTCTGCCACGTCACCACAGGTCGTGGGACACCAGCTGCTTCACATGGTAGGATGACCCCATCCCCAATCACAACACTTCTGACCTGAGGGCCTTTGCTGATGCTTGGCTTTACTGTAAAATGTTATAAAAAAGTTAATATCTTATAAAGGTGTATGCTTATTATTTATAATATTATTTACAATCAATAACATTTGAAAGAATATATATATTTCAGAAAGAACAAATTTAAAGATAAAAAAAAACAAACCAAAATATGTTGCTATAATATATTTGAAGAATAAATAACGTACCAAACACTCGTACTTCAACACTGATTGAATCATTGCCAGCGATGTTTTGTGCCATGCAGGTGTAGATACCGGAGTCGTAGACTTTAGTGCGCTGTATACGCAAGGAACCGTCTTGGTTTACGATATATCGTCTGTTGTTACTCGACAATGGAATACCATTGAACTTCCAAATGTAACGAGGTGGAGGTGTTCCATATGCCTCGCAATGCAGCTGCAGCGGAACACCAGCATTCAATGTCTTCACGGTGAAATCGTCTTGTGAAATTGATGGCGGGACTGAAATAATTACCATACAGTATGCGGTATAATATACGTCCTCAATAAAAATTAACACTGTCTATCTTAAGTGTGCAGCATACGGTAGGTAACAACAAAAACATCCTTTCTGTATGTTTTTACTCATTTCTTTTAACAAAAGTGATTTATTTTTCCTTGAGCAAAAGAAATATTGCACCGGGGACCATCATTTGCATATTGGTGACATTAGGATGATAAATGAAAAACTTGGCAAGAAGATATAGTAATTACAATTGTTTACTCAACAATAATTAATATAATAACATATTATACTAAATCTCATCTCTGCAAAAGTGTTAAAATAACCACTGTACAGCATATACGCTTGCAGCACAACTTACCATAAATGGAGACATCGTAGAAACGAGTGCTGTTACCGATGGAGTTTTTTGCTATGCATTCATAGATACCGACATCTGTCTCTTGGAAGGAGGAGATTTGCAAGAGCATACCATCTTCCGAGACATGCAGCCCACTCTCCCAGAGGTAGATTGGATTTCCGTCGCGATACCACTGAATGAAAGCTTCTGGGTGGCCATCAGTCACGTTACAATACATGTTGATAGGCTTACCGAGCATCGCAGCTTCCTTGGTTGGGTTCCTCACTGTGTTCTCGCCAGAAATTCTTGGTTGTACTAAAATTTAAAGGAAAATTATTAATTTGAGTACAATATAAATAAAAGTACTTACGATAAATACGAGATCACCGATTGGTCAGATTCATAGTAGACATCAACACTACAAATTTGCCAGATATGGCATTATTCTCTTACCTTGAGTATCAATCATCATGCTGACACTATCCGTTCCCGCCTCATTCCGGGCAATACAGGTAAAGTTACCACTATCATATGGCTGCAAGCTGGCAATGCTTAGAGTTCCATCATTCATAATTGTGTAGCCTCTCTGGTATTTCTGGATCTCTAAATTGCCTTTGTACCAACGAATGTCTGGATATGGAAGGCCAATGGCAGAGCATGGAATCTTGATGGAAGTTCCCATTGTTGGTGTGACAACAGGCGGCATATCTTTCCTGATGTATGGTTTGCCTAAACATAAAAAGATTTTCAATTACATGATAGGTCCATATAAAATGTGCTAATAAATCAAACTATTATTATTATTTTCTGTCATCAGTATTGCAACAAAATAAATTGCTAGTTGTTGAAACTTACTAAGTACTTTAACTTTTATAAGCCTAGTTTCTGATCCAGCTTCATTTGTAACTACACAAGTGTAAGAACCGGAGTCGAACTGGACAGCATTGAAGATTATCAGAGAACCAGACTGCTGTTTTTCCATGTTGTTATTTGCAATATCAAGAACTCTGCCATCCTTCTGCCAGATGACATCTGGTGATGGCACACCAGAAACCACACATGGCAGGTCTGCAACCTCTCCAAGCATAATCTTGATCTCAGTTGGGCCATCTTCAATCTCAGGGGGAACTGTAAATGCAAAAATAAAAATAGGAAGTCAGATTGTATTAAATTTTATATCTAAAATCAAGGTTTAATGATAAACCAATCGCAATAGCAAAAACAATAATAGTAATGGTATAATAGTAAATCTATTGTGATTCTGTTATACTCAATTTTCTTATTGGAGACTTCAGTCCCTGTAACAAAAACATGCCAGTTGTTTCGTTTCATTTTATTTATTTATTTTTCCAGTGAACTTTGGCAGGCGGTTAATTCAATAAAAATACTAACCTTGTACATTTAACTGCATTGTGCGTGATGTATTGCCCACAATGTTCATAGCAATGCACTGGTATTCGCCAGTATCAACAAGTTTTGTTGAGCGTATAATGAGGGAACCATCTTCAAAATGTTCATAATAGGGATCTGACATGTCAATTTCTAGGCCATTCAATTTCCAGATGAATACCGGTGGTGGGGAGCTGTCAACGGGGCATTCTAGTGTGACTAAGTTGTTTACAATGACGCTGTAGTCGTTCAGTTGATCAGCATCAATAATACGTGGGGGAACTGTTTTAAAATTGAAAAAAAGATGCATGTTTAATGACACTTATGCTTGCAAACTGCTAAAGTAGTCCATACAAAAAATGACATTGAATATACACTGGGAGGGAGATTCTAGATAGTGACAAAGTAATATTAAAGAATCTATCTACATTGCTGCTACCAACTCTGATCTTAACAAGGACAAAGGCTGACACCACCACCATGTCACATGCTTAGATATCATTCTATCGTCCCTTCTTGCTGCTTAAATTCCTTATTAAAAATGAAAAAATATTTTCCAAGATATCTACCATGAACAGTGAGGTATGTAACTTTATCATCTGAACCAGCAGCATTAGTCCACGAGCACTTGAACTCGCCCGTGTCTTCCCGGACAGTGGATGAAATTTGCAGTGATCCCGAAGGCATTTGGAAGTAACGCATATCGTCTTTCAAGATCAACAAACTATCTTTGTACCATGTGACCTCAGGTTCAGGTACTCCTGATGCTGGGCAGTGAAGCGTGATTGGGTTTCGTACTACAACCTCGTAGTTGGTGCGCTCATCCAGAATCAATGGAGGAACTGTGGCAAAGGTAATTAAAAAAACATTAACATTAATTTAACAAAATTTTTCAATATATCCTATTAAGAAGTTTACTATTATTTTAAATTTAAATACTTAAAACATTAGACAAGCTGATGTACAGAATACTGTAAAATCAATCAATTGGTCATTTAAAATGGCCTAAACGGAAATGTAAAAGTAATTTATTATTAAGCTCTGTCAAGATTACCAAATTTTATTTGACAAAAAACTGTTTGTATGACCATATTTAGTCATAATGTGCCTATATATGGTAATGATGTGATGTCATCTTGAACAAAATAAAATAAAATTGATAGTGTGGACAGGACTTTAGATGCACTCCCTACCTTGAACAAACATGGAGATTCTACGGCTGGTTTGACCTGCAGGATTTGATGCGTAACACTCATATTCACCCGTGTCAGAATCCTGCACGTTATCAATGCTCAACATGCCACTTGCACTCACGTACACCATGCGTGGATCTTGCTGAATGTTCAACACTTGGCCATCTTTGTGCCACATAACCTGTGGGTAAGGGATACCATCTACTTCGCATTTTAGGTACGCAGTTTCGCCGGATACCAATGTTAGGCTGTTCAATCCAGGAAGGATGGTTGGAGGTACTAAATGAAAATATAAATAAATTTACATCAATTTTAATGTATTTATAAAGAGTTGTCCTCTATTTTGAATAGATCAGCAATTAGGAATGTAAAATCAACATACCTTGAATTTCAACACGGAAAATCTTGGAAATGTTTCCTGCAACATTGGATGCGATACATGTGTAAATTCCACTATCAAGCACGGTAGTCCGGAGAATACCTAGGTTACCATTGCTATTTATTATCACTTCCTTGTTTGGATTCAGAAGATTATCATCCTTATACCAGGTGTAATACGGTGGAGGGATAGATTCAACCTCACACGGCAGCTCAATGGGGTTGCCGATGACAACATCTACATGATTATCACGGTCCCATTCAGGGATCTCAGGAGGAACTAAAAACAAAATATAAATGTGATTCCTTTCATAAAATTTAATATTGCCAGTATGTCATTTATATGTTTAAATTGCAATAAGTGGAAATTGTGAAAAAATTGAAGTACAGTATATCTTACTCCATGGACAATATCACAGAATGCGAATTATATTAAGTAAAAATGAAAGGTGTCTTAATAACTTAAGTAATATTTAATGAATAACTAATGGATTATCCTGGCAAACATTTGTAATTTTGTCTTTCTAATTTATGCTTATGCATACATGAGCATGTAACATCTTATCATATTAGGGACCACAGTGGAAATTCTAGGGACCACAGTGGAAATAAGTTGCTTTTTGTACTTTTCTGTGTTTTTATCCTTGAATGTTTTTTACTTATAATTACTTCAGAATGAATAAATATAAAAAAAAATCATAAATAACTTTATGTATGCCTACTTACTGTTAACGAGAAGAGTGATCTCCTTTGAAGTAATGCCAGCTGGATTGCTAACAGTACAAACATACACACCCGTGTCGGATTCAACAGCGCTATTTATTGTAAGGGTACCTGCTGATTGGTCAACTTCAAAACGCATCTCGGTGTCCCCACGTGCAGCTTCTACAATCTCCTGTCCGTCCTTCATCCATGTGATCTGCGGGCTTGGAATACCACTTGACGAGCAGGAGAGAGTAATGGAGCCATCCGCGTTAACATCGTAAATCTGGGTTTGATCGATGATCACCGGTTGTACTGTAATAAAGAATTCAAAATTGGAATGACAGAGGTGAATGGTTGTTTTTCCAATGACAAAATTAAGATAGAAAATACTAAGGTTCATTGTATAGAAATTCTTTTTCAAAAATACTAATTCAACAACAGTTTTGTTAATGTCTTTCTTATTGACAATTTACTGGTTCTGTTGGTGTTAGAAGCCAGTTTGACATCATTGTCATTATCAAAATCCTTATTTCCTTTAGTGTCATGGCATCAGACTCACCATAGACATCCAAGAAGATTGTCCTCTGGATGGCACCAGCATCGTTTCTGACACTGCAGATGTAGGTTCCTGTGTCAGTCTTGATGGCACTGATGATCTCCAGTGATCCTGTATCCAGCTTGGTATGTCTTTGAGAGCGCCTCTTTATGGCACGGCCATCCTTCTGCCACTCTACCTCTGGAGTAGGGATACCTTGGACAATGCAGGGTAGAACAACAGCATCTCCTTCATGTACAGTCCACACTCTTTCATCAGGAACAATGGTTGGAGGAACTGAAATGAGAATTCAATCCAATTAGTTTTTGGGGGTTTTTTGATTTAAAAAGAGATTAATGTGATGGAATGTAGAGGTTTGGGCTTCAAATGTTTTACTTCCACGGAATTAATTTTTGATTATGTTGAGTTTTTGATTTGTTCAGGAACCTTAAAAACTAAACAAGCAGACAATCAGGGACAATTTTGTAACACTATAATTATTTTTAATGGGATGCAGCACACAGATTTTTAGAAAGACATTCTTTGTAACTGGGACATACCCCAAACATGGACATTAAATGTTTTTGAAATATTTCCAGCGATATTAGAAGCAACACAGATGTAGTCAGCGTTGTCCGTCAGCTGAACTTCACCAATCCATAGCGTCTCATTGTTGTTTAGTTGGTTGGCGGTGGTAGGTGTGATGCGGAATCCATTTTTGTACCATGTGAAGATGGCAGAGGGGACACTGTCCACAGCACATGGCAGCCACAGCGTCTGGTTAATAACAACATTGACAACACCTTCCTTCTGGTTTGGTTTGAACTTTGGTGGACCTGTAATTAAAAAAATACTTGATTAACCTTATTCCTCCAGGATGTGGGTAAGACAATCCTGTACACAGATAATATTCCGCACAACCAAGACTCCCTAGGGAGGTGAGGCATATATTTAGGTACTGTAGTTATTATTGTATATATATAAGATGACAAAAATAATTATTAGCACAGCACCCATGATAATTTCCACATAAAATTAACCAATTACCATCAATTAGGATATAGATAACCCATGAGACTAGAACACTTTGGCATTTGCCAACAAATAATCACAAACTTACTGTTGACGAAAAGTGAAATTTCCAAAGAATCAGTACCAGCTGGGTTTCTAGCGTCACAGGTATATGTGCCTGCATCATCGGCGGATGCTGATGTTATAATGAGATTGTTGCCAAGTTGGTAGTAATACAGATTGTTTGTTGTGATTTCCTGTCCACCTTTTGACCATGTGATCATCGGCGGTGGGTAACCTTCGGTTGGACATCTCAGAGTAACATTCTGTCTGACGTTAATAACATAGTCAACTTGCGGATTTGGTGGGATCCTAGGTGGTACTGAAAGCAATAGTTGAAGGTTATAGATACATTAAGAAAATTAATACAAAGAAAATTTATGGTTCCTTCTCAACAGAATTAACATTACAGTTACCATCACCTACATTAATGGTTCATGGACCCTTCTTAAGCCCCGCCCTTGGATATTGTTGCGAACATAAAAATATATAAATTTGTATGTTTGTGAAACAAGTGCACATTCCTGGCTATTAAATACCATGTTCTGACTTTTATTGATACTCTGGAAAGGTCCATTATTTTCGAGGTTTGCTTTAGTTAAATTAATATGTCAACAGATGGTTTATTCAGGTGTATATTTATATATCAACTATATTTCAAAAAGTACATACAGTAATCCTACAATTTCTGTTGCAGACTTTTGACAATTTGATAAATCCCCCAAATCTTGGATAATTTTAAGAACGGAATTTCAAATCACATCTCACCTTGGACTATCAGGTTGCTTTCCACTTGTGTTTGCCCAGCAACGTTAATTCCTTCACATTTGAACACACCAGCATCACCTTCCTGAATGTTGCTGATTGTTAGAGATCCATCAGTTTCAAGTCGATAGTTAGGGTTGGAGGTCGGATTAACTGGGTTGTCATTCTTGTACCAGTACACCTGGGGCGGAGGATTGCCTTCCATTCTGCAGTTCAAAGTGATTCTCATTCCGATGATAGCTATTTCTTCTGGAGCGGGGCTGCTGAATATGTATGGTCGTACTACAAATAAATAAATTTAACAATAATTTGAATGTATACGCTTCACGATCAGGCTCACGATTGGGCTTGCTATCAAGATTAAGATTAAAGATCAAAATTTTAATAATAACAATAACATAGACAAAAACAAAATTTAAAACAAAAATAGCAATAACTAGAGGGCACTCGGAGAGTGCATACCTCCGCCCACATCAATTCTGCTCAGTATAAATTTCCCCCACATATTGTCCACATAAAAAAAAATAATGAAAAAAAAAATACAGGTAGATTACTGGGCCAGTATGTGCGGAAAACACACTTCTAAACACTACACCAAACTTTTTTCACATATATCAGTTCGAAAGTAATGGTCATATGTTTGTTTACACTTTACTGGCAAGCCCGTATAAGCACACACACGTCTATACGGCAAACAGTATTCCAGTAAACAGTAATAGTGTTTCCTTGACCTTGTTTTGTTGATTGTGACCTTCATTTTTAACCCTTACCCTTCAACATCCAAATACTTTGAGATCTTTGGTCATGGAACACTGTGACCAAGTTTGACAAGTGATTGTGATTAAAACTATGGGCTGTAGACAAATAAATAAAAAAAATATTTCTGTTGTTGATTGTGACCTTGACCTTTGACCCTGACCCTTCAAAATTTAATCAGCACTATATCTCTGGCAAAGGAACATTGTAGCCAAGTTTGACGAATTTCTGATAAAAACTGTAGGCTGTTCATAACAAATATGCTGACAGATATGTAAATGAATAAACAGGGGAAAAAACATAACCACCTGCCAACTTCGTTGGCAGACGCAATGAGATCTTTGGTCATGGAACATTGTGACCAAATTTGAAAAGTTTGTGATTATGGGCTTCGTTGGCGGAGGTAACAATACTAATAATATTAATTTTTATGCTCAAGTTTATAACCTAATTTTATTTTTCTACCTTATTTTTGATCAAATACCTTAATATTAATTAAATAACTTTAATGTTATTTAAATTCTTAATGTCAATTAAAAACCTCACCAAGACCAGTGATACGTAGTTGAGCTGTTTCTTCTTCTCGTCCAAACTTGTTCTTAGCAATACAAACATATGTTCCAGCATCATCTACAGTCAAGTCTGTCAACAATAAAACACAAAGCATTAAAAAAAATGAAAATTACATTTCTTGGAAGCATACAGAAAATGCTATCAAACACTTTCAAAATCTTAGTGCACTGTTTAATGAAATGTTATATTTATGTTTTGTATCATCACAAATTGCCTATTCACTTCCTCATGCAATTTTATGTTGTTTTTTTTTCTAAATATAGTATTGTGGTTCCTAGAGGATAAGACTTTTTAAAATTCATTAATATTTTAATATTTATGTTTTGTATCATTTTCCGCAACAATTCACAAATTGTCTAGTCACTTCATCATGCAATTTTGTGTTTTTTTTTCTAGATTTAGTACTGCAGTTCCTCGAAGATAAAACAACCTCTTGAACATAAAACTGAGCCAAGTTTGGAAAGTGGACTTACACATGGGGAGCAGAAAATGTAGGCAACACTACTACTGATCTAACTTGAAAAATGCACTAACACAAAACAGCTGTTTTTTTTACCTCTGATATGAAGAGAACCACCACTGGTGACTGTCACTCTTGGGTTGATGCTCAAGTCCTTGCCGTCAATCCTTCTCCATGAGATGACAGGTCTTGGGAAACCAAAGGCCAGGCATGGGAAAGAGGCATTCAGACCGATGTCAATAGCAACGTTGTCAGGTGGTTGCAAGATTTTTGGGATTGCTGAAAAACAAAGAATAATTGATAAACTTAAACTCTACATATATACTGTACAAATTAAGTGCGTCATACTTTTTAGTTTATTAACCAAGAAATTTGGGCTTTGCTGATTGGGAACAGCAGCAGCCAACGTTCAGTGCCACCCCAGGCATTGGGCAGCTCATTGGGAGACAATACCTCACATTTTTCTGAACAGTGTATGCATTTTTTAACATAAGGATCAGTGGATAAAAAGTTAAAAGAATAACTCACATCCAATTTCCAGAAACATTGATGCAGTAGCAGTGCCAGCGATGTTACTAGCGATACATCGGAACAAGCCCTCGTCAAGCTCCTGTGCACTTGGCACTTCCAGGCTTCCATCCGGCAAAACCAGATAGTAGGAGTATTCATCTATGATTTCATTATCTTTCATCCAGATGATCGATGGTGGTGGGATACCACTGGCAGGGCAAGTTAGAATTACCGTCTCTTCCTGGGCTACTAAGATTTGTTCACTAACTAGCGTGATCTCTGGAACAGCTGGAAAGTTAAAACAGATTCATTCAGTATTTTTAACAATTCATTTTATAAACACATTGGGTGAAAAATACATTTCATAAAATGGGGAAGGAGAGCTGAGCATTAGTGGAACTGTAGGCTGGTGGTTTGAATGAGTGCCTTCTAATCTCTGAGTGATTTTGGAAGACAGACATACAGGTATAAGGATTTATAGAAGATTTATAATAGGCCCTTGTCTTTCATTTTCGCAGATTTTACAACTTTCATTTTTTGTTTGTCATTTGTATTCATTTGCTAAACACTACTGATGATGATATTACACAATGATATGCTATAGTTGTTACCTGTAAACTCAACTACAATGCTTTGAGTATCATGCCCGGCTGGGTTGATAGCATCACACGAGTAGGTACCGGCCGAATCTGGGCCCGCATTGTGGATAATTAGCTCATTATCGAAGCCAATTGAAAGGCCTGCCATCTGAGGAAGCTCTTTATTGTCCTTGCTCCAGCTGATGGATGGCGTAGGGTAACCAGAAGCGAAGCAGTTAAGTGTCAAGTTCATCCCTGCTGTGTAGGTGATATTGGAGGCAAGGATCGTGATCACTGGAACCTCTGTGGACGTGAAACAGTTGGACAGCATTGAAGTTTTTTGTATATTGATATAAGCTTTCTGGATATATTCTATTAATTTGATCGGTTGAAAACAGGTCACATGAGATTGATTTAAAATGACTATTCCATGGTTATTTGAGTACTAGTCAACGATCGTTGAATAATACTTTTTCATCTCCAAGACGACAAAAATCTCAAATGCAACGCGACGTGAGCGAGAGAAAAATAGCCTAGCATAGTTACAATCCGTGCATCAACAAAGAGTTGATCATTTAGTAGCCCTCACTCTGCCAATAAAATGGCAGGACCACTTGATACTGGGTCATTTGTGTTTTTGAGCGAAGAAGGTTTCGAGAAATTACTGAATGAATAGGATGCCGAATCAACAAAAAACAAAGGCAATAAAGTAACAGTAACTCACAAAAACCCTGTAAGTAAAGAAGATATGATGAAGATTTTGCTAATTGTTAGATACAGCAGCCTAGGCTAGGCCCGGCACCAGACTAGGCCTACACCCGAGGGCCTACAGGACAAAAATATTTATTGATATAATGGAGAGAGATACAGAGGTGGTGTATAAAACAAATAATGTTTCCCATTCGTACAATGGGGTAGAACATTTAATGAGGTAAAAGATTGGATGTTCTATCCAGCTTGGCTGCGCCTCATTGAATAGTACATCCAATCTTTCACCTCATGAAATATTCTAGCCCACTACACTCATAAACATTTATTATTTGTATACTATAATATTAACATTAATTAAAAATTAAAAAGTTCCAACCTTGAACAAGTAAGAACAGTTCTTCATAGACAGATCCTCCCTCATTTGCTGCAGTACACCGGTACTTGCCGCCATCAGAATCACGTACATTCATAACGAGGAGTGATCCGTTAGCAAGCTGACGAACAAACTCATTCTCTCGCAGAGGGACGTAAGATCTAGGCTTGGTCCAAGTAATGTTGTATTTAACTGTGCTGTAAGCTTGGCATCTTAACACTGCATTTGCTCCTGGTAAGGTGGTTACATTCTCCGGCTTTTGGATTGTGGGAGGAGGTTCTATTATATAAACAAATACATATTTTTCAAATCAATTATATTACAATAATTTAATATTGATGTAATAATGATTTATTTACATTCAGTTTGTGCACCTTCAATAAAATTTAATATTTTTTTATTCAATTTCATTAAAAATAATATATTTTTTCTTAATTAAGTTATGATGTCTTTATAAATATCTCTTTATAATTAACAGCATTTCAATAAACATAATGCAGTTTTTCAAGACTTTTCAGGGTTATTTATACCTTTTCTAGGTTTGGTCACCCAAAGACAATCTTTTAATATGACTTACAGTTTTAAGTTTAAATAAATGCTAACCTGTTACATCAAGGTATGTGGTATCACTTCCAATTCCCTCAGCATTGGTAGCCCAGCATTCGTAGTAGCCCTCATCGGCATTAGTTGCCCGCTCAATCAAATGTTGCACTTCAGCGTCTCCACTAGAAATAATTACATCAAAAATAATGTTTTTAAAATTAATATTTTAATATAGTAATAATAATAATGTAACATTTATATAGAGCTATTTCATTAAGATCAAAGCACTTTAAGTGTTACACACTAGACTCTGAAACAAGAAATACACTAACCAAAGACAAATTCAAAAAGATACGAAAAAAAAAAATAAAACAACAAAATAATAGCAATAAAATAATGCAGTTTACACAAACTAAGAAAATTTGTATATTGATTACATGTACATTTAAGGTCTATGCTTAAAAACTACAGATTATGATATTATATAATGCATAAAATATTTTACAATACTAATGTTATAATTATTCATATGAAATAAGAGAGGTCACTCAGTAGAGTTCATAAACTTAAACTCTCTGAATACCAAATTATAAAAAATATTAAAAATTGATTTCTGTGACCTTGAACTTTCCACACCACCATTTAACCAACTTTTTCTTTATGATCCATTCATTAGTTTCTTCATAATCCTTATTAATTTGATTATCTGAATTTCCGTGACCTTGACCTTTGACATTTTCACCCAAAAAATCTAATCACTTCTTCCTTAGGCAAAGATGGTATGTACCATTCCACTAAATTATATATATTGTCCATTCATTAGTCCATGCTTAATCCTGCTAGCAAACAGAAAAACGACAGCAAACAAAAAAAAAACAACAGAAAACAGCAGTGAATACATAAATCTCCTTAGTGGAGGTAATTAACACATCCTCCCTTACGGCTTTATTTTTTAATGTACATAAATGTATTTAAATCGCCAGTGTCATGTTTTACATATATCTAATGAAAGAGGTTTCATGCCTCTAAAATCATATTGACAGAACCTTGTTCTACTTAGGTTGGAAAGTGTAAAAATCTGAAATCTATACATAAGCAATTAATTAAAAGAACAATAAAAAAATAATAATAAAGATATATTGTTTCAACTTTCAAACATTGTATATAAATACTTTAATTTTCTGACACAAATTCCTCAACAGCTATCCCCAAGGCCCTAAAGACTGGTGAGTAACTAAATTGAAATCGCACACTCTAGGATGTGATAGATTAACTTGGAAAACACGTCAGAGACGCTCGGAGGTCGCTGGAGCTGACCGGCATACTCAACTAATTCCCTGAGGAGATGCATGTATCTGTGCTCCCTGGTGGATTGACTACTGGACTTGAGACACAAGCCATGGCTGCCGGTGTAATAATAGCAGAAAGCACAACAAAACCTGCGTCGTCTGCTGACCTTATTCCATTCGCTATCTAGGTACCAATATCATGAGTAATCCGACTGGTACAAATGTAACTTTGTTTATACGAATTAAAACTGTTTGCTAAACTAGGACTTAAGTCTACCTTTGTTAAGTGGCAATGGAGATGTAGCTTGGTAGTTAAGATACTTTTGCCTTCCAATTGCTAAACCAATGATACCCTTTGCTATAACTTTTTGTAAAAATTGTAACCTACATATACTAAAGATATAAACTAAAATTAAATGTGATTAACATTTTTACTACAATTTAAACAACTTTATCTAATTTTAACAAATTTCAAAAATGATCAATTAAAGTTAATTGTGAACATTATTTTTCAGATATTAACAAACTATGCAAGGTATATCTGGTTTATCTCAAAGAGCTCAATCACCAAGCGCATAGAGGCTTTTTCGCATGATGCGCTCTACAAATCCAACTATTATTTTATTATTACTATTATTATCTTTTTTTGTCTATCATTATGTGACTTGTTCACTCGAACAATTAAACAACTTTACTTAAATTGACCAATTAAAATTCAATCGTGAATCTTGAATTCAGAGATTCCTACACGTTAGTTTTCAGGTATTAACAAATTTTCTGCCCTTAAGGGAGAATTTGCGATTTTCATAACAACCAATAAGTCATACCACATGTCATGCACACAGTCTCAAATTTGGTACTTTAAAGGGATTCATGTTGATACAATATTTTTACAGCAGCATGACATTCTAAACAAACTAATTTCACCCCTTAAACTTGTAGACATTTCACTATTTCGTTTATTTTTATTGGTAGGCAGCCAGCAGTCCTTAAAGATGTGTTACTAAAGTTCAGAGTGGGCTTGTTAAAGTGTCAGTAAAATGGTAAAGATAAGCAAACAAAGCTTAACATTAAATAATGAGAATGTATTCTACATAGTAAACAGATATGAGGCTTGGGCATTAGGCATTAAAAAGCAATGCATTTGTTTAGCAAAAATGCAATATAGAATAAATAGACCAAACTAAAGAAAAAAAAAATAAGCTAGATCAATTGAAAAATAAAATTCAATATTTGAATTGCTTATTTTTTTAAAATTTAAGTAGGTTTTTCAATTAAATATTTAAGAAAAGAAAATACTTTACACCACTAAGTACTGAAACATATATATTTATATTGATAAACAATGAAAGCAATATGTATATTAAAGGTAACTTACTTGAAGAACATAACCTCTCCGATGGGGGCGCCATTTCTTTTGAAATAGACTTCGATGGGTACCAGACTTGTGACAAAACATTTCAAGTAGGAATCGGTGTCATAGTAACCGGGAGAATGTGGTGACATGTACACTACTGGGGGATCTATCAATAGAAAAAAAAATGAAATATCAGAAACTCACATAATAAATGACGGAATTAGATTTACTGAAATTCACAAAAAAATAATTTTAAAATTAACTTGCTCACTTGGAGGACCATGAGAATTATTATCTAGATATCTATGCATAGAAATTAAAGATATTTAAAAAAGGTTTATTTTAATTATAACAATAATCAAAATGATCAAAACACCTCTAATAATGATTATAATACTTTTTATCATTTCTGGGGTAACATTAGGGATAAAAAATTCTTAAATACACTAATTTCTATTTTCAAGTTGAGAGTTTTTATTTTACATGTTTAAAAATTAGTTATTTCTGATTGCTTTTTAGAAATTCTCTGCTCTTTTCTGTTTTAACATCATATCCCTTTATTTTACACATTAAGTCCAAGTATTTCTTCTTTATCCACCTGCATTACCTGATCAATTTAACTTGTCATCTATAAACACGTATCTGTTTTCTTTACAATTACTGGATTGAATTAAAAAACAAACTTTACATCTACAACAAGATACAGTACATAAATATAAAGAATGATGTTGAGTGGCTTGACAAGTTAATGAAAGCAAAAACAGATTCTCTGATTCTGAGATTGACAATCTAATAATTATTTTTTGAGTCTTAAACTGATTCTCCTGGGGCGGATTGCTATAAAACCGTCTAAACTGATAGTCTTAACTCTTCGAATAAATCCAGCTTTATCACTTAGACAGTCTCACTAAAGTCACTCTGCTAAGACCATTGCTATAAAACAGTCTTCACTTAGACCGGTTTGAGTATTGAAACACTAACAAGCACTCTCTGGTAACATGAAATTGAGGACGCTGTTACGCTTGCTCAAAACATGCATATTTATTCAAATGAACACAAATAAACATAGACCAGTTTTTACAGACGCTGAGAAGCTTGCGGATATTCATTGTTCGAATTTTAGTCTTTGACGAACTAGGCCCTGATGAAAATGATTTAAGACCGTTTTAAGCCTCCTCCAAGTGGGCTATACAATTTAAGATGACTAACCGGTTGGACCGGGTAAAGCAATGGTCTATAATCATAGCCCAGTAGTGACGCCACAGTTAAAACCGGTTAAGCGTTAAGACCGTCTAAAGACCGCTTATAGCAATCAACAATGTACAAGAGTGGTTTTTGTTACAACAGTCAGCATGTCTACAAGGAAGACACAATTATAGATAAATTTCAACTAAGTTCAGTAGCTGTACTGTACAACAACATAATAGGCCTATTAAGGAAATAAGCACCAGTGTACAGTGCTTCTAGGAAACCTTCAAGATTTAGTTTTGCCCGCAAGCTTTGCGTGCACGGCAAACTTCCTTGGCATACACAAGAAAGCTTCAGATCAATCAAATCAAGTAAATCTTGAACGATAGTCTTTTGAACGTCCTTTGTCTTTTTGATAAGAAAATTTATTCAAAAAATGTCTAAAATTTAAATATTGTATTACAGTATTTTATTTTTGTTTTGTGTCTGAGTTGAGATACAAACAAATAACTTATTTTATTTTATGATTATGCAAGTTTTACCATTATGTGGTAACTACAATTACCTATCAATGCTAAGAAGGTGCGTGGAGGGGCCCTAAATTTTTGAAGCATTTTTATCTTGCAGCTATCAGCCGTTAAATTAAAACCTATGTGGCTGATGATTTTTCCTTTTTATTTACAAATTGTATTATATCTGTGGTTGTTAAATAAATACTTTAAAAACAAATGGCAAAACAAATTGTAATGCACTGGATAGATTTCTAAGAGTACACAAAATAATAACAATATATATGTGATTTTTGTTATTGTTTGACTGACAGAAAAACATATAACGCGAAGGCCCTTCAACAGATTATTTTACTATGGCAATGACCTGTCTGAAACAATTCTAAAACAAGAGTTCAACAATTCTAAACAAAATTGAATGGAGTGTAAACGGCCCCAGAGGGTGATCATTGATGTTTACCTGGTATTAACAGGCTAATTGCTGTCTTTGTTGTACGTTGGAAATCAAAATTCCGCCTGTCAACACCAGACACTCTGATGTAAAAGTACTCATCCGGTGTTGTTACCGATGACACATTGTAGAACAGTGGGTTGTCGGGATTGTACTCAAGAGGATATTCGGATATCACTTCTCCACTAAGTGATAGGAACTCCATCTTTGTGATCACACCAGGTGGGAAGAGCTTCTTGGACTCAATCAAGAGATAGTTGGGAATTCCTGTGAAGGGGGGAAATATGAATAAAACATGTGCCAAAAGTGGGAGATTTAATAAGAAACATATCTTAATTATATTATACTATTTTTCATTTTAGATTAATAACATATGTTTTAAATGCAACTATCTTGATTTAGCCTCTAAGTACAAACTGCAAGCAATTTCAGTTTTCTTTTAATTACTTTTTGTTTCAACTCCTCAAAGCAAAATTCTCAAGTAACAGTAAGTCAACTAGAGACATTTTCCAATCAATGATGGACAGATGTCCTTTATGATTTCATATGAAGTAAGTTATTTTAAATCTGGAATTCACCAGTTCCTTGCAAGTGACTCTTCATATATTTTAAATAAAGAAAGGCCTTCTTGATACTTACCTCTGATAGGTCTGCGTTGTGTGCCGTCAATGCTATAAGCAGGCTCTTTTGAAAATCCATAACCAAAATCCAGAGAGCTCAGCCCTGTCACCCTAAGTTCATACTGTGAGTCTGCTCCTATTATAAGCTGCCAAATACCATGCCGTGGATTCTCTAGCGATACGACATAACCATTTTCTAGACGCAGAAGTTCTTTTCCATCAGTAAGTTTTCCTGTTTAAAAAAATATGATAGTTTAGATGTTAGATTTAATAAAAATGTATAGTATTCAATTCAATTCAATTTCAATTCAATTCAATTCAGCAAACACAAAACGTTTTTATAACGTTTACAAATGTTGTGGTTATTTATGCCAGAATATAACATTGACACAACGGTTGTGGCAACATTTAAATGTTATTTAGTTGTAAAATTATGTTCTACAGTAAATACGTATTTACGGTTCTACAAAAAAAGTTTTCTACACCAAACTGTAATGTTATTATAATGTTCTTATACCATATGTTTTAAATATGCTTTTATAACATAATATCATTAGCTAGGAAATAGGTAATATCGGCGGTTCTCAAACTATGGGCCATAACCCAAAATTGTGTTTGATAAATAAATTAGAGGGTTGCGAGATTGAATTTTTCATCATGCTTAAATTTGCTGGAGTAAAGTGAAGGCATTCTAATTACCATATTTCAATTTTGATATACCAGCTAACAACCCATTATGACCCATTTTCAATGTCCTAGGAAGTGGGTCGCGACGTTTGATTAGGTCATCAGCCAAAAAGTTTGAGAACTGCTGTACTATTGTGTAATAGGTTTAAGTGCTTAAATATACTTCAACAAGCTTCAATATCTGGAACTCTCCAGGGAGTTGTGTATGTATTCCATAGGTATTTGGTCCAATGACCAGGGTACAAATGCAGAGAGGCCTTGGCATAATCAAGTCCACACTTGAGGCCTAATTTATTGCACACTTATATTCAGTGGAAACATTTAAGTATAAGAATGCCCCAGAATTAATCTGATACATGACATTAAACAATGTTCCTACAGGAGTCCCAATTTGGGAGAAGTCACTTCTGTGAGATTTGGTTTCTTAACACATCTAACTGTACTTTTTGCTGTGCGTGGTGATACTCATGGCCAGCCAATATCAGGTAAGCAACTGAAAATACACTAGTAAAGTCATTTGTGTGAGATGGGTTACTTTCCAGGAGGTTCTCACTTGCTCATGAGAGTGCGGGAGACAATGCAAATTTCTGGGATATTGACTCATGGAAGACTTGGAACCCCTGTACCCACATTACCTGATGGATCTCTGATAGTAATACGTGGGTTCACACCGCTCACTGAAACCGTGATCTGTTGTAATTCAGTGTCAATCGGAATCCTAATATATTTGACCCCTTCAGTTTCAAAATCAGCTGAAAGCAAGTTCACCTTTCTCGCTTGTAACGTCACTTTGACAAAGGTTAGCACCTACAAATTTAAATAAGGTATTCTTTTAATCAAACTTCAGCCAATTATGGTGAAATATATAATATTATTTTGAAATCTATTGTACTAAAGATAAGATAAGATATGATATATGGTTATTATATACAACCAATGGCAAACAAACTTAATTTGCCTTGTATGCAAAAAGTATTACACATAATATAAAAATAAAACATATTAGTCGTAAAGAAGTTCTCACATAAATTAAAATGCATCAAAATCTTAACACACATCATATAACTGAATTTCTATCACATAAAATTAGAATTATTCATATTCTTAATATCTACTTTTCTAACTTAAGTTATTAAAAAATACTTAGAAAGGACAACCCAAAAAAAATCACACAGAGTTAGGTGATGTTTAGGAGACTTCTAAAAAATGAAAAATAACAATAAAAATATTCACATGGAATGAGCATACCGGGGAGAGCTAGCTGTCGATTGTATAAACTATATATATGTAAGGGTATCAAAGTTTTTTTCTTAAATAGCTGTCAATTATCAACATACTAAATGAATAAATTTCAACCTTATAGTAATTAATGAATAACACTTTGAAATTAAAATTGCAAATTAATTAAGAAACTTAATACCAAGACATCCTTTCTACTAACTTTAACTATTAAGGAATTTTTAAAGTCCTTGGCACCGACTAATTTGCAAAAACTTGTCCTGCAGTAGAGGTTGAACATAATTAGAACAGGAAAAATAATTAATTTCATTCTTGTCAAACCTTTCTAGTTCTATCTTGATTCTAACTGAAATGTTTTCTTCCATTATTACACAATGTAAAATTTGTATACCCCTCTGTCTTAATAAAGGTTCTTGCTTAAAAGTTTGTAATCTGTTACAAACAATCAAGTAGTCTGAATAAGCTACTTACTAATCTCAAAAGCGTGCAACACAGACGTTAAATAATCACCAAAATAACATTATGACTAGCATGTATGGAAAACCATGGAGGAAGGAAATTTAGAAATTAGAAATCTAAATTTCCTTCCTCCATGGGAAAACTAATCACTGGTAGGCTTACAAATTATTTGACAGATATAAAACACGGAGGATACACACAGGTACTATTAGTTAATCTGTTCTACTGTATGTTATTCATGAAATTTGGATATAAACATAGCCACCAGTATACACACTGATCTGCCTTATGCAAGTATACAAGTATTATGCTAATAATAAAACACCTGGATACACACCTCATCTACATCAGATTTGTTCAATTTAAAAAGTTGGCCGGAACTTGTTGCTGCAATCTTTTCATAAGATTTGAAGCCCTCATGAGTTGTGTTTCCACAGTCACCAGTAAGTACAAATACAACCTGAAAAAAAAGTGTAGTAAAATTAGTACTATTAGAACACAAAATCTACAAAATATATTTTAATATTGCATCTTATAAGATATATTATGTACAGCACTTCATGTGCTCATTAAAACCTAGATTTTCGGGGAAGAGCTTATTGAAAATGAGGATTATTCTTGAATCCTGACTGAAGCCCTAGGCAACCCCCTGCTTCTGACCCCTGTTGGACTTCTTGGACTCTCCATCTGTAAATTTTTATAGTATGGGTATAGGCTTGGGGCAGAGGGATGGCAAATTAGTTCCACTAAGTGGGTTAAAATACTAAATATGACCATTAAGTTTACTATTCTCAATTTTCGCACCTCCAAGCTGTTTCACACCTGACCCAAGCCGGTAAAGCCACCACTAAAGTCTACATTCACAATGAAAATCAGCTTATGAATAGTGTATCCTATGTTCTTGAATGAGTGGTAAATAATGGGTACAGTATAAATCTCACCTGACTCTCCTTCTCTTGAATGAGACGCAAAACCTGATCTGTGAGATAATAATCTTTTGCCCTAGCATCTGTAAACACATAGATAAACGATCCAGGTAAACTGATATTGAGGGCTGTAAGAATCGCACCAACGCTCATCTCAGGACAATCAGCTCCTCCCTGTACATACAAGTTGTGTAAGTTTTCTTGGAACACCTTTGGATCATTAGTGATGGACACTGGGCCAATCTCTGTGGAATAAGCATAAATGTTTATCATTTATTTTTAATCTGATTTTTCTTGGGTATGGAAAGAAATGATTATACAAAAAAAAAATTGTGAAATTGTGATATATATTACCCAGATCCTATAAATTACAAGAATATTTGTGAAGTCTATTTACTTGAATAAACCTACTAACATAGATTTGTTCTCCAACAATAGTATCATAATAACCTAAAGGAAAAAGGAAAAGAGGAAGACCAAAGACAACATGGAGGAAAACATTGGAGCAGCAGAGGACAGCAATGGGGTGGAGATCTGGGAAAGCAGCAAAGGAAACAGCAAAAGACTGGGATAAATGGAGAGATTATGTTATGGCCTTATGTGCCTCATGGCACAAAGAGGATAGGTGGGGTGTGGATAGTATCATAAGACCTGTTTGGATAATATTTTATTAAATTTCCTTAATGAGAGTAATAATTGCCTGACAATCATGAGGCGCTCAACTATAAAAATAAAGAATACAACAAAGCTTAGATTTATTTTGGTAAAAAAATCCAGTACAAACAGCCCTGGTACAGTATCATCATTTCTTGTGCCCAGGATGACATTCAAAAACATCTGTAGATAATCGACATGCAAGGCTATAAAAAGTTGAAAGGGTAATGCTAGGGCATCACTATCAGATGAAACAAATATTTGATCAGATTTTATTTGGATAGTAGGCCTATAATGATCAGAATATCTGATCAAAGAAATCATGTGTTTTTCTCGGAGTCTATTGTATCTATCTGTTAGAAAGATACAGCTCCTATATTTTGCATCAAAGTCAGACTGATCATACATTGCAGACATGGCAGATATTCTACGGTCAGCTTGGGTCTTTAGAAAATAATCAACATCTTAAAATTTTTTTATGGTTGAATGAGCTAACATATTGCAGCTACTCAAAATGTGTTAAAGATGCATATTGAAAAAGAGCTTTGATATTATTTGAATGCTACGCAAGAAAGTAAACTACCTATTACATATTCTATTTTATTTATTGTGTTAATATTCACTATCATTATCATTATACTTTCATTATCTTTATCATTATCTTTATTATTATTTGATTATTTCAATTTTTTCGGGGGAGGGGTGTGGGGGGATGAGACAGTGGGTGCTAATCTGTTTTAGATACGTCACTGCACCACAGACAGTATATCTTTCACCATTGATGTGACAGCATGTGAATTGTCACAATACTTTATGTGTCTGCACTCTTGTGACGTTCTATGCTCCTTCAGCATGCTATTGTAGGCTCGACACATGAACTTGCAAGTACCTAACAGTATCCTGTTGCTAAAATGGTCAGGATGACTACTAGGGTAGTCAAGAGATATCTGCGCTTTCCAGATGGGACAGCCGATAAATATCGCATGAGGATATCATCTACAACCCTAACGATGATTAATACAGAGGCAGGGGAAATGACACACATGTGAATTACTCGTTGCCCCCTTGTAGATAGCGTGTAAATGTGATCCATGAAATTAATAATTGCGGAATGGCACACGAAAGTAGGACCACTGAAATATGGAATTATTAATTACATAATACTATACAAAACTAGGGCTGTCTACATTTTCTGTTGTTGATATTTCTGTCATTTTCATATTTAATTGTCTATATAATATGCAAAAAACACAACACAAGTAGTGCTAGGCTTAATTGTTTTTCTTATAAAAGTTGTAAACTTTATAGTTTCCAACTTTCACTTCTGAAAGTACAGTAATCCTGTCTGTGACCCAGTGCTGGTTTCAACAGACTTTGTCCCCAGATGAACTTAAAAGCACAAACAAATAAAATAAAATTATTGAATAGTTGTATTAATATGAAAATATGTGTGTTGGTAGCACTTTTATGACTATATAAATAATAAATATAATTTAATTGAACTTTCCCCTCAATCGATGGGACCTCAATGAGTTGGTGAAGAAGCCCCATCAATTGGCGTAAAAGTTTGTAAAATATGATTTATTGTTAAAAATGAAATATTTAAATTAATATGACTTCAGAATATTTCTGGGATTTTTTTCCCCTTGTAATTACTGTGAATGATTATTGAAATGTCCTACAACATGGCTGAGCACATACAGGGAAAAAAAATTAGAACGGAAAGGGAACTTATGACCAAGGATGCATAACCATATTTCGTGAAATTTTGGGCATGTTTCCAGATTTTCAGATACATTGGAACACAAAGTATATATTTAAAAAAAACATAGATATATGGTACAACTGAAAAATAAGTAAGCTTTGTCCATTTCGATTGAATCACTTCCAACAGAACAGCACATGGTGTAAATTTGTATTAAAACATGAAGTGAAAGAGGACATGACACATTATTAAAAGCTTTATTAGTAGCTGTGACCAAAGCACATAGACTGCCATCATACCGCTTGCCGTCCAGTAAATGGAAGTGGACGATAGGAACATAAAGACCAGTTGTTTCCTTTAGTGCGTAGTCAATGATCAAATGTCAAGATACATTTCAGGGCCATGGTGCAGTCCAAACCAATTCATCTAAAGGAGGTACGAGGATGGGCAGGCATTTATTTTACTTTGAAAATCAAGGAAAGCTGGCATGGGAGGACTCAATGCCAGTGTATTTATGCCAAGGTCAAAATCAATGTAAAACTTTATTAAACATCAAAAATAAAATGGAAATTAATATAGCTCGCTAATGTCGAAATAATTTTAAAATGATTTAATTTCACTTGGAGAAAAAATGCAGACCAGGAAAAAGCAATTTTATGATTAAATTTTGTATTATAATCCAAAAATGACAAATTAGGAATGAAGGTCTGTGTCTGCAACCAGCTGAAGGGAAAAACTGCTGAAGTTCCTGATCAGACTACATAAGCATCATCCATGACAACCAGACTTGTCAGACTGGAAAATGTTTGTCTATTGATAGGACTTATGTTTTAAACAGCTCACAACAGCATAAAATGCTTCCAAAATTGGGAACTTGCCAGGCTTCCCTCTAACCTCAACAGGCCACAGTCCGAAATTATCAGACCCCCCTAAGAATGGCTTTGCCCTTGAAGGTACATCTTAGAGTTATCACTCCACCTCATTGTGCATTTGACCATCATAAGGTGGAGGGGATGAATGTTGTTAACCACCATATGTGACAGTTCGTGGTCAATCGAGACAAGTTCACAAAGTCCATGGCTACCGACTCAAAACCGCTCTAGCCTCTGGAATTTTTGTAATACTAAGATGTATCTCATCCTTCCTTAACTGTCTAGGTTTGTGAGCCCTGATCTATAAAAGCTAAAATTATCAAGATATCACAAAAGATCTAAATATAGGCCTAATCATTAGGGAATGAGTAACAACACTTAAAGCCAGACAGAATTATTAAATCCGGATAGGACCTACAGTCTAACAACTGAATACATTATGTCAGTGCTTTACATTCTTACATTTTTTTACCTCTTTGTTTAATGATTACCTTGGGAGCGATTACTAACCATTCTATAATTTCCCTTTTCTTTTTTGACATTAATTCTTGTTACTATAGAGTACCACAGTCGTGTCGTCACGACGTCAGGTGGCGATCTCTGTTGTCAACGGACGTTGGTTACCGTTCATTATGCCTGAATGACTTCATAGGCTTTCTGGAATAGGCATTTTAAAATCTAATATTTTACCATCAAAATGTACTAAAAAAACACAAAAGCTTGCATTATATTAGTTATCGAACATACATTTAATCATCAATTAAGATTTACAAAGAAAAAGTAAGATACAACATTTTAATAATTACGCTAGGAATTGGGATCAATGGTTTGTCAGTGAAGAAAATAGCGTCCAGTTGACGGAATAGTATCCTGTGGTATGGTGACGTAACACTGTAGTACTCTATACTTTCTTAGTTTATTATTTGTGCTGGGTTGATTTACTCTTGTGTAGTATATGACATAAGTTTATATACTGTAACATCGATTTCATCTCTTTAAGAGAAAAACCCATTAAATAATTTCAAAAATTTAATTCACTTTTAATTGTACCACATAAGATATGACAGTGATTTCGGTTGGAATGTCTGTTTTATTTGCATCCTTTGTAAAGTTTTTGTGTTTCGTTTATGAAGGTACATCTTACAAGGAATTAATAGTCCATAGCCACAGGGTAACAGCAGCTGTATGGACAAGTACATCGGGGTAACCCCCTACTCGTCTCGAAAGATGTACTGAGTTTTTAAAATTAAAAAAAATTAAAATTGAGCCAATCACGTACACTGGACCTATGGTTTATAGTCATTATCTAAGAAGACTTGTCCCACCACCAAAACCATATGCGACCGTGCTGTTTGAACCAGCGCTGATATTATGGCTGTAGCTAAGTTGCGGCACCCCGTCTTTCCCACTAGGCCTTTGACTTGCAGGGATACCTCAAGTTCGAAGAAGCCCCTTCTGAGAAATCTGGTTAAATAATCTTCCCGTATATTAACACAATCTAATTTCAATGCGCTGTGTGTGGTGATACCTACTGGCACTGACTTCCGGGAGACAATTGATAAAATAGAGTAGAGAAAACAGGCATATATTCTAAATTTGTTTGTGTTTTTTCCGGGAGACTCGCACTAATATAGGGACCCTGTGTGTGAATCAAACATTTCTTTCTTGAACATCCTGCTCTACTGTATTAGATTGAACAGATGAGCTTAAACTATTAACAAGTGATAAAAAGTTGCATATAAACAGCCGAGAATACATTAATGGATAAATTGGAATTAAGCAGAAGTGACTTGTACAGTGATCAAATTCTATTATCATTGGCTGATGTCAATATAGAAAGCAGTACTGTCCACTGAACTGCCTGAAAAGCAATGACATTTAAGAGCCAGATCCAAATAAACTGTAAAGTGTCACATCCAATCACAACACTGCAGGGATATATCCATGGCAACAGGTCTCTCACCTGTCAGATCTGTGCCAATTACCAAACACTCAAAATTCAAAACACAGATGG